GGGTAAATTACAGAAAAGTTTTTGGTGAATTATCAAAAAAATCTATGCACTGCAGGTAGAAACGTTTCAGATAAGTAATTGTTTTTTTTATTTTTCGAATTTACATCTACGACATTTACAGATAATTCTTAAGAAATTACGAGTATGAAGGATGAAGAGCACAAATTGGATAACTTTTTAAGTTCATACAGACTTAAGCTTTTTACTGAGATAAAAAAAATAGTTTATAATAAACTTTAATTGATTAGTCAACAGTAGATCTTATATTTACATTTTAACTAAAAAACTCATAAAAAGATGTTTTATGTTTGCCTGTGATGTTTATTTTACAAAGGAACAATGTGCGGATATTAAATAACTGTTCATATAAATTAGTTGGGATGGTCATGAAATTGGATAAAACAGAGTTAAACTAAATGTTATTAGAAATGGGAACTTTAAAATGGGATACCGTTAATCCCGACTGCTTAATCCGAATATCCAATGTGGACACTTTTGATTTCTTGTTTAATCCACTCTTTTTTGGATATAGTAGATAAAAATCAAAAACCTTTTTTTTTAAATTGAGTCCTTCCCGTTTCTGTATATTAATTATATAAATCTTAAATGGCGCGCAAAATTTCAAATTTATCGGCTTCTTATACGCGACTCTGATTGGTTGAATTTTATACACTTTTCAGGATACAGTACAAGATTTAGTTAGTCTCGAGATTAAGAAAAAGATAGTATTAAGCATTAATCTCAATATCCACCATTCTAAAGTTCCCAGCTCAGGCCACACACAAAAAATCATTAAAATGAAAAAAATGAAGTTAAAGATATGAAAAAAACAAAATTATCATCATTCTAAGTACAGACCTAACTTCATTTAGCATTAAATATCGCATTTCAAAGCCTGACCCAGATTATAAACCAGATATATAGAAAATTTAATTTATTAAGCAGAAAAAAATTATATAATTTTATAAACACAACATTCTAATTAATTAATGATTTTAAATGCGTCTTTCATATTTTCTCACCTTTTTTTTAAAGGGAAATCGTTTTTAATTGTTTTTAGAATAAACGATGGGTCACAACGAACGAAAAATTCGTTATGATCTAAACGCTGCTTTATGGTTTGATGAGAAAAATAAGAAAAGTTGGAAAGGGCTCAAGGAGAGTGGACCGTAAAGGCTGCAGGAGGTTGTCCAAACTCTCCTAGCTTCTGATACAATAAGCAGTATCAGCTAACAGTTGGATCTGAAACCAGTAGCAACGTTCACGTGCTGATATCGTTGGATCAGATATCCGCTAAAGGGGAATTTTAACGGTATGGAGAAGCATCCTGTAGGATTCATCGTCTACAAGCCAGAAACTAAGCACGGAATCTCTGAAATCTTGGGCATGGGACACTGGACAGCGGTCTATTCCGGTATGAGGAAAAGATAGTTGGTCGTTAAACTCTACCACCTGGTATCTACACAATTATTCCATGCACATTCTTCCCTGGACTCAGAGCAAAGTTTCTACTCAGGGTTTTCCATTCACGGGAGAGGACACAAACCTAGTATCCTTGAATCCAGTTCTAGAAAACCAAGATCAAGATTCAAATGAAGAGGATTCAAATGATTCAAACTCGGTTTCAAACTAAAACTGGAATTTCATTATCTGATAAATCTGTATCCATTGCTGCTTAAGTTGTAACAGTAAGTTTACGACCTATAGCGCTTCTAACAGTTTAAATTTTTTAAATAGGAAAAATGATTACAAAATCTACTTAACAATAATTTCAATTTACATGTAATTTCTTTAGCCCATTTCAGGGCTATAATAAGTCATAATAGACAAAATAACATTTGAAAAATGTTGGACCAAATTACAGTTGTAATAACCTTGTATTTCAATATTGGTGTTTACAGTCCATTTAGAAAAATGTAGAGCATATATTAGAAAACTATTACACGGTAATTTTAAAACTATCGGCAATCATATATTTGGACACCCTGTATACAGCTGTACTAGAACATATTCATGAAACATCCTGTATGTAGCTTTACTAGAACATATTCCTGGGACACCCTGTTTATAGCTTTACTAGAACATATTTATAGAACATCCTGTATCTGAGTGTATATAGCTGTACTAGAACATATTTATAGAACATCCTGTATCTGAGTGTATATAGCTGTACTTGAACATATTTATAGAACATCCTGTATCTGAGTGTATACAGCTTTACTAGAACATATTTATAGAACATCCTGTATCTGAGTGTATACAGCTTTACTAGAACATATTTATAGAACATCCTGTATCTGAGTGTATATAGCTGTACTAGAACATAGAACATCCTGTATCTGAGTGTATATAGCTGTACTAGAACATATTCATAAAACATCCTGTATCTGAGTGCATATAGCTGTACTAGAACATATTCATAGAACATCCTGTATCTGAGTGTATATAGCTGTACTAGAACATATTCATAAAACATCCTTATATGAGTGTATATAGCTGTACTAGAACATATTCATAGAACATCCTGTATCTGAGTGTATATAGCTGTACTAAAACATATTTATAGAACATCCTTGTTAACCATTAATTTCAAAACCTCTATAAAATGTCGTCTTATACTGGAATCTCCTGTCGGAGACAGCCAAACCAAATTTTCAGCCCGCAAATTCCATTGTCCTCCTCCGACGGAGCTTAAAATATTTTCGTTGTTGTGAAATCATTAAAGTTAAGCAAAATATTTTCATAAGAAGCATAAGTGAATTTCGTTAAATATTCAACTGTAATTTTTCAGAAGTTAAAAAAACGTANCATAATAAACAAATTAAATCTAATAATAGCTATATCTAAGACAGAGAGATAGAGAGTTTAAATATTGAATAAATTTGAATTTATTGATTTGGTAAACACATATAGAACATTGAATTCTAGAAAGGAATTGAGTCTTTGTCACAAACTCAAATTTTCTAATCCCTATATCTATGAAACTTCATGTTGTAGACTTTTGCTATTTCAAACTAAGATAATTTGATGCAACAGAATTCATAATTTGAAATATCGAAGGTCTATGACATTGGGTTGCAGAGATATAGGAATTAGAAAATCAGAGTTTGTTTCAAAGACTCAATTCCTTTATATATAGAAATAATTGGGTCAAATAAGATATAATATAATCACACTGGAAACCACTTGTACAGGTAGAAGAGTTAAACCAGTGATAAAATCTACTTTTAGCGAAGATATTGCTGAGTTATTCTCCTTTATAGGAGAGAGTTGTCAAGTACTTGCTGCCTTTTCCCTTGTCTCTGCATTTATAATAGCAGTGACTCCTTTCCATCTTATACGTTTCTGCTTCAGACAGATCAAGAGATCATTCTACTGGAGCTGTTCTTATTTCCAATCTCCTCCTAAGCAATAGAGATTAAAATAAGTTGTAGTACTTAAGAGAATAGTCTAAGTAACTACAGCTTTACTAGAACATATTTATAGAACATCCTGTATCTGAGTGTATACAGCTTTACTAGAACATATTTATAGAACATCCTGTATCTGAGTGTATATAGCTGTACTAGAACATATTTATAGAACATCCTGTATCTGAGAAAATATTTATAACATCTCAATTTTCAAGGATTTTGTTGCTGAGTCAGTTCTTCCAAATCTTATACACATGAGAGTTATCAAACATTAAATAAAGACATATTTTTTACATTTTACTAATATTTTATAGATTTATTTTCAGCTTAGGATTATTTTAACTTTGGTTTAGCGTGAAGTCTTTTGAGAACCGATTTAGCCCATTGGGGGGTTAGTTTAGGAGCAGAAACTGCAGAACTGTTTTCATCCCCACTATCTCGAAGAATCTTAAACAAACAATTAATAATTTTGGTAGATTTAAAAAGTTAAACTTTGACAGAAATTCGTAATTTAATAGTGTTAACTCAACTTCAACAAATAGATGTTTTTGAATAAAAAGTTAAATTAATGTAATATCCAAAATCAAGAATGTTTAAAATGTCAATATAGACAAAAAATTACTCATCCATAATCTACATATATACTTTGCTTGTCTGGGTTTTTGTTTGTTGTATCCAATAGTTACGGAAAAACGATTAAATCGACAGAGCCCAATTTATTTTAAGTCCCATATGTCACTTGGGAAGGTTTATGAATCGTTTATAAGCGCCCTAAAACGATTGAATCGACAGCGCCCAATTTATTTTAAGTCTCATATGACACTTGGGAAGGTTTATGAATCGTTTATAAGCGCCCTAAAACGATTGAATCGACAGCGCCCAATTTATTTTAAGTCCCATATGACACTTGGGAAGGTTTATGAATCGTTTATAAGCGCCCTAAAACGATTAAAATCGACAGAGCCCAATTTATTTTAAGTCTCATATGACATTTGGGAAGGTTTATGAATCGTTTATAAGCGCTCTAAAAGCCTAGTTAGAAAAAATTAAACCTGTTTGGCCGTAGCAATCACAGCAAATGAATTAATCTTTTCGCCTCTCTCTTCCAACCTATTAAAGGTTAAAGCATTAAATAACCAGGCTATAAAAAAAATTCTCTTCAGTTTTTACCAATTTATTACAACTTCAAGAAAAAGTACATTGGAACCCATAAAACTGTGGAACAGGAAGAGGACTGTTAGACTCAGTCTTTTCAAAATAAAAATAAGAATCCAATAGTCAGAGTAAGCAATGAACGATAAACAAAAATAAGCATGAACCACAGAAAATATTTGATTTAAACAGGTGCATCTCAAGAAATAAGATTAATGTTTAAACTTCAAGGATAACTTATTGCTTTTAAAAGACATCAAACAAACACACAAGATAGCTTAAAAGTCGTCTTCCAATTCCCGTTTCATGGGTCCTTTTGTAGGGACTGTAGGAAAGAAACATTTTCGCATACGATAAAACAAACAAACCTTTTTAATGTGCTAATAAGAATTTGATCATATTGGCCAAATGAGGATGGACGGCCTCGAGCTCCGGCTCCGACCTCGGAGATATTTTCTCCTTTAATGCGGCTCATTACTAAAGAAAAAAAATCATTTGAGAACATTTTGAGTAAAATTAAGCAATTTTTACCTATATATTTATCCTTCATTGCTCGGATAGTAGATTCCGAAATTGTTTGACCGAGTTCCTCAGAAAAATGGCGAATGGCAGCCACGTTACCATGTTTCGCGGCAAATTTTCCAATCTTTGCGCGCATTTCTGCGCTGTACTGTACATAACTACCTCTTGTGTACTTCTTCTTCCTTGGCGCCTAAAAAATTCAACAATAACGTTTACTGAATTAAAGTTTGATTGAAAAATTGTATTTTTTCTAAAATTACCTTATCAGTTTTTGTGTTTTCATTGCTTTCATCTTGTTTTTTGTTTTGAGAATGTGACGAGCTTGTTTCGACAGAGGGTTTCACGGATTTGAAACTTAAATCTTCGCTTTCTTCTTGAATATCAGAACAAACGTTTACTGTCTAAAATCAACTCATTGTTAAACTGTATTTTATTTATGTATTAATGAAAAGTTTTAATGTTAATACATTGGTCATTTTTTATAGCGAGCAATTGATTTATTTTTAAAGATAAACAAAAAATAATGTGTCGTTTCTTGTAATTACAAATATTTCTCTGTTGCTCATATATAAAATGTTTTTATTTCACACTTTAAACAAAAAGTTATTTTTAATTAAAATTTCACGTGATACAACCCCGCCCAACACCTCCACAAAAAAAATAAAGAAATCAAAACAATGATTGAATTATATTGTAACATAAGTTAGATCTATAAACCTGAATAATATCCGTTGGGATGGTAACTAGTTCTCCATGCATTGATGAAAGGTCAGTTGATAGGTTGTGATGAACAAGGTTGTACGGTTGTACAACAGAATACTGTACAGTATATCCTTCGCCACCCTGAGTAAATAGTTAATATATTTGTAAAATATTGAAAATCAAACATGAATTGTAAAATTGACTAGTTAATTTTACAATTTATGTTGATCACAGTTTAACCCAGTACTTCAGAGGAATCGAAAGAATTTGTAAAATGTAGTCATGGCCATTTTTCAATGGGTTTTATACTATTATTCCTAAATCTCAGTAATTGTAAAAATAAATAAATAGCCATAAAATATGCGGGAACAGTTTTAAGGAGCTCCATATATTCATTTAGTTAAAAAATTTTATGCAACATTCCATTATCAGAAGGTTAAGAAAAATGTCTCCGAAGTTCTGAGATAGATAGATAGATAGATATATATTTGACTAAATATTTAATTAAAACAATTTAAATTTAACAATTTTTACATTTTAATTTAGCCAGAACCTTTCTAACCATTGTTGGTTGTTTTGAATGAGAGGCCCTTCTGCAACGATACATACATGTTCAATTTAAATAAAACCAAATAAAACAAAAACAATTTAGAACTAAAGGAAAAGGAGGAAAATGAAAAGTAGTAGATAGAGGAAAGGTATTGAAGAATAGAGAGGAAAAGAAGAAGAAAGGATCGTAGGGGCTGATGCNATAATGTTTATGTTTTAGTTATAATAACAGGTGAAACTGTACAATTTGATACTAACCTGATTTAAAACGTTAAAACTGCTCTGAAGAAGATCAATTGTTGTTGTGGTATCAGAGTGTACTGTAGGTTTGTTCATGTACAGTCGTCTGAACTTCTTGACTGTACCAGGTTTAACAGACATTTGAAGCTTCTCGCTGTACACACTGTGAACAAAAGTACAGTACAGTTTCCAACTTTAATCCAATCAGAGAAGAACTAAGGAGAGGCGAATGGGGTTTGTTTGCATACTACAGACAACTGTAATGTTTTAGGACATTATAAGAAACTAGTTTTGTAGAACACAATAATAAAAATAAACAAGGCATGTTATTTCTAGACAGGGTGGGAGGGCCGGGCCTGAGAAACAATGATTAATTACAATTAAACTAATTCTAAAGTTTTCCATTTACACGTCAAAATTACATGAAACAAAACCTACCTTAAATCTAATACTTATTTAAGATTGCAATCTACATTCACGTCATAATGAATTAACATAAAAATCTTAAATTTCTAATTTGTTAAGTGTTTCCCAAGCTTTCTGTACAAGATGAACAAGATCAATAAACTCCTGCATTTTCTGCGCCAATTGAGAATCATTAATAAACTCGAAATAAATGTTTAATAAAAAGTTATAGCTTAGATTTAAATTCTTGCCATTAAGTTATCAATTAAGAATTTCGCACAAACAATCAATATGTTGTGGATTTTCAATTACACTCCTGTGCAAAAACGACTTTTAGTCTACTCGTTCTTTTACCTAACCGCGGCATCCACGCCATGTGCTATCGCATATTCTCCAATCTCCTGACGAAGAGCGGAACTGTAAACTCTTCCCTCCATCCTTCCTCCTCCTTCCTTCCCACTTCTCCCGTACATTCGTCGGAACCTCTTGACAGTACTCTTCTTTACATCTCGTCCTAAATTTCAGACTAATATTAAAATCATCTTCGTCAAAAATATAAACTTAAACAATAAAATAAATCTATATTTTAGTGAAAGATGTATATTCAAAAGAATAACAGAAATATAAACTCGGCAATATTAAATATCCGATAAAAGTTACGTTCAAGACAGCCATGACATTAAAAATGAAGCTAAGCAAATCAATTAAAGGAGAAAATCTAAAATTCAAGAACGTCAGATAAGGAGTTACGTTCAAAGGAGCTGAAAATGAAACTAAAGCTAAGGAAATCAATCAAAGCAAAAAAAAAAACATCTAACAATAAATCTTAATGTTAACATCCATTTCAGAAAGAACATTACAAAAAATCAATTCAAACCAATTTTATATTTAAAGAATAAAATTAACGACTTTACAATAACTTAAGATAATCCATATTCCTGGAAAGGAGATCAAAAGATTTAAAATAAAATAATTTTTTTAAAAGATTTAAAAAAATATTATCACCTAGAAGCTGGGAGAACTGTATAGAAGCTAACTCAAGTCCGTTCACATCAGCGTACTCCCCTGTAATAGTGCCTAAGGTCAAACTTTTGTATTTGATAGCGCTAATCTTCAACGCTTGATACCCACCTGACAAATTTAAAATTTGAGGAATTCAATCCCTCAAACTTTGTTAATACGTCAGGATTCAACCAACATGGAAGGATTAATTTAATCCGTAGAATTGCACAAGATACGGAAAACTGTTTAATCCCAGGATTCAAACCATAAAATTTTTTACCTGTAGAGTGGAGTTATGTTTTTTTTTCATTTAAAGATCTTTTAAATGCTTAAATTCTAACCTATTTGTTTTCTGAGCTCCGAACTATACAGCTGATAAACCTTACAGTAATTCCTGAATAGTAATAAAATTAGTCATTAGTAATAATATCATTTATTAAATTTTTTTTGGAATAATAATAACCTATTTAATAAACCACATCATATATTTATTTAATATTTATATGCATATATATTCGCTATAACTGGCAAATGATAATAAAAAAAAACTTTTCCATTAAGAATACCTGACTGCATTGAGTGAAATTGTATGATTAAGGTTTCTTGAAAAATGTTCTACAGCCTCCTAAAACCAAAAACAAAACATATTTTTTATTTGTAATATATTTATTTGTTATTTGCAAGGAATATATATGTTCTTGGAGAATTATTCCCCCCCCCCTCTCATAAAAGATACTTTGTCTAAAGTAGTTGGAAAATTTCTAAAAAGACTTTAATATTAAATTCTAATTAAGAACGGTTTAAGGTAAAAGCTCAGAAACCCATTTTGAACATATTCTTTGATACAGGGAAATAAAATGTCACCGTCAGATATGTGAAACCATGTTTAATTAATAATGTCACCTTAAATTTGCTCTTACTGGGGAGGGGGGCGGGGGGATGTGTCACGTTACCCCACTCTCAGTCACTTTATTGATTCTCAGAAATAGTTTTTAAGTGTTTCCAAAACATGCTGAAAAAATGTCATCGGCGGAAATTATCAAAATTTAACCTTGTGATAAATATATTTATTTTTCAACTCCCCCTCAAGCTCTCCTCTCTCCTTAGCTTCAGCTAAATGTGTTCTTTGATGAATTCTGCGCAGAATATCTTCTTTCAAATAAAATAAAAAGTATGAGTAATTTTCTATTAACTTAAAGTTTCACTTCAGAGTTTTAAATCCACACTGAACATTGTTTTTCAGCAATGTCAGTGTTTAATATAACCATCAATTTACAACACAAAAACGTTGGTATCTCTGTTATATTTATTAGAGCAGAAGACTTTAAGTGAGAAAATATTCCTAAAGCTAACTTTGCTCGTGAAGGATAGATGGCAGTGTCGACACACTAGCAGAGCGCTCTTCAATGCTCTTCTTTCTCTTCCCTTCCTCAACCCAACTTCACGACCAAACATATTCTAAATGATGTTAGGTACTTTCCCAAAGGATTTTTCCCAAGTGAACATTCCAAGAGTATTCTATTTCCCAAGCGGCAACTTCCCAAGTCTGTCCTAGCCGCAGCCGATATAAGCAGATATCTAACCGATATAACAGATATCTAACCGATATATAACAGATATCTAACCGATATAAACAGATATCTAACCGATATAACAGATATCTAACCGATATAACAGATATCTAACTGATATAACAGATATCTAACCGATATAACAGATATCTAACCGATATAACAGATATCTAAACGATATATAACAGATATCTAACCGATATATAACAGATATCTAACCGATATAACAGATATCTAACCGATATAACAGATATCTAACCATTTTTAACCATGTTTATTTTTTAGTACATTTAGAACCTGGAAAGGTGAATCCTCCTGTGTTTCTTGAAACCTTGTTTTAAGCACCAGAAGTTCAAGTTTAGATAAACCAGGTTTGGAACATTCTTCCTTCTCCAGTAGTTTCTCCAAGTCTTCGTCTTAACAATCAAACCATAAATAATACGAACCAATCAGAGAAACAGAAAGCCAACTAACTCACAAACCAACTATCTCACAAAACAACTACCGCATTCGAACAGAAACCAACCAATCAGAAAGAATACCAACTACCTCAATGAACAAACCAGACAGAAAACCTACTACCTCACAAACCAGACAAACAGAAATCCAACTACCTCACCAATCAACCTTTACAGAAAACAAACCACCTCACCAACCCACAAGACAAAAAACCAACCAACCAGACAAAAATCCAACTACCTCACCAACTAACCTAACAGAAAACCGACTAACTCACCAATTAGTCCGACATAAAACAAACTACCTCACTTCCCAACCAGACAGAAACCCAACTGTCTAGCTCAATGGGCGAGCAACCAGACAACAGATCAATTACTTCACCAACCGACTAATAAATAAAAGATACAAGTAAAGCATTGAAATAACCCTAGTTTTCTTGAGCCTTTCAAATCGGCGAAGGGACAGTCCAGACCCAACCAACATGATATCAAGCTAACCTAGAGGAGTCTCCTGTTGGTTTACTGAGTAGATAAATGAGGTGAGGGTTCCTTGTAGTTCAGGAACCTTATCACTCAGTTCCTGATGCAGCTCTCTGAAATATTGAAATATTATAAAATGAAAAATATGGTTGAATTATATATGAAGAATGTGCGATGAATATGTGATATTTTGGTTTTCAGATTCAAAGATGAAATGATGAATTCGACAAACCGAACTAGTGTAATTGATCCGGATCCTGATCCGTAACATTTTCGCATCCTGGATCCGGATCCGCAAAAATATGCGGATTCACGGAACTGGGGCAATATAAATGTATAAGAAAACTTTTTGCTCTCAAAACCCAAATCATAATTGTAGAAAAAAGAGAGATTATTTAGAATTGTATTGTTTAAAAAGCTTTGGCATAAAAATAAGCAAAAACAAAGGAAAAATAGTAATTTTGAAATTCTTTTTCTGTTAAAAAAAATCCGTAAATCTTGAAAGAAATATTCATGACCTGGATCCGGGCCCGGTTTAATTTCTTCCAGAGCGGATCCACATCAAAGTGAAATGGATCCTAAGCACTGCTTTATACCTGTATCTTTTTGAAACAGAATCGAAGAGTTCAGGAGAAAAATTGACAAACTCCAGATCAAGAAATCCAAAAGTTATAAAGGTTCGTAGCAAAAACGTTGAAATATTAGCCGTCCCACTTTCATCAACTTCCTTCTCTTCTACTTCCACCGTGGAGCCGTCATCTCCAGAGTTCATTGGTTCAAGAGATGTCGAGAACTTAGAACCAACGATCCAACTGAAAATTATGTTTTATCAAACGAATATATATCGAGCATACATATGGTAATCATCCTATTTTACACTATAAATAAGAGCAAAAAAGTTTAAAGGTTGGAACTTCTGAATTTGAACCGGATGGATTATAGCACTAATCTAAAATGTCTGAACTCAATATTCAAAGCGGAAACTTATAACTCAAAGTGATTTTGGGCTTTGTGCTAAATCCTTAAAGATCAGTGAAGCCGTTTTTTGTGTGGATTCTCATTGGTAAACCCTTGAGTTATGTCTGAATGGAATTATCTTTATCCGACGGAATATAACTTAAGGATTTGATGATTCAGTAGTTTCGACCTCTCATTATATTAATTTCCAACAAAACTTTAAATGTTAAACTTTTTTTAAAATATTTGCAGATTTGTTCATTCAGAACACGTTGAGCAAATTTACTAACCCGGAGCATGGATCCCAAACAAGTATTATAAACTGTGAGCTGTTACTCCATAGTTTTACCAATCCATTCTCCCAAACGCCTTTATTCATTTCTCTGAAATATAACACAAATAAAACCACTTCTAAAATTAAAATGGCGCTGTTCTTGCGGTAAACTGGCGCAAATGGCGAAATTTTTAAGTAAGCAATTCCTTTACAAAATTGCGCTACAAACATGCATTTGCAAGGTGTATTGAGCTGTTATTGTGTAAATACAATGAAAATATTGATATAAATAACAATTAAATTTATTAAATACATTTGTAAAGTATTGAGAAGTTGTTTTTTAAAATCATCACAGTAAGTTAACTTATTAAAATCACATAGAAGTGTATTGTATATACTTAGATACTATTACTATAAATGTATAATGTATTGTGCATAAGTGAACATTTAGGACGGATTTTGTACTGTAGTTTATGCAAGGATAATAATAATATACATGAATATGTGGTCATATTATGTACGAATCAAAAAAAAATTTTCGTCAAACTTCATATCACATCTAAAACAAGCAGAAAAATAAAAATATCAGTTACAAATTAATACTGAATACTGAGAACAGAACGTTTTTAGCGCTAACATCTAATCTTAATATCCACAACAGAAACTTTTAATTTGAAGCGATTAATTGCTTAATCCATTAAAAACAGCTACTTTTCATTATCTTTTCTAACCAAGAGCAGATTGAGGAATGTAACTTGTTCTAGCAGTTTTAATAGATCCAAAAGGTGTGAACTTAATTAAACCATGGAAAGGATACGGATTAGTTCTTTCTGAATTGATTAAACAACATGTTCTGAGTTTTCAATTTTTTATCACTATTTCTTCTCATTGTTACCCCAATCGTATGTGAGATACACGATCTTGTAATTATCCTTCTCCAGGAGCTCGGAGAGCTGCGCCTTCTTCTCTCCTGATGCCCGCTCCGTGATCCAGGTTAGAATATCTCGAGGAGAATCTCCGAAATCTACGGAGTACCAGTTAAACAGCTGGGAGAGATTAATTATCCCGGTATCCGTGTTCACCACCACAGCATCATCAGACTAAACAAATCATGGAATGTACGGACTGCGTTTGCTACAAAAACTTAATTGCGTATTTAACAAACAAATCATAAGGTTTTAATGCATATTTTAAATTTGTTCTTAAAATTTCTTGAGACCCCCCCCCCCAAATTGTAATTAGACACTTCACAATTTCCCCCAAAATGAAACTTATTAGCAAGCCACTAAAAAAATTAATGAAAATAAAATTTACGTTTCTGACTCTGAGCATAGTTTTTCACAAATAAATACGAGATCTAGATAGATAAATGAATAGATAGATGGATACCTCTAAAAATGAAGATGTTGCTACTTGTAGCTGATCCTGAACCTGGTCCCCGGAGAAGGTTTTGATCGGAGGACAACTCTTTGCTCCGCAGTTGAGAGCAAAGTGTATCCTAGGATCCACATGAGCTAGGGATATCTTCAACCTTGGATCCCCAGATTTAAATGGTTTCCTGTACAGGGTTCCCATGGATTGCCTGTTACTCCTCAGTATCCCGTTCTCAATATCGTTGAGAGAGTAGAGAAACCCTCCGATCACGTAGCTTACAGAGCTGAAGAATCTACAATAAAACGTCTAGTTATTAATTCAACTTAGTATACAGTAAAAAAAACGTTCGGTCGGGCGAGCTAGACGAGGCTATCCATTCTAAAAACTCGAAACAGTGCTAATCGATAGTTTCTGATCTTGATATCCGCTGTGACAACTTCTTAAACAATGTGCATAATCTTTGTTGTCCCTGAATTAGGTTTCGAATCAAAACGCAGGATATCAAAGACGAAACAATTTATTTGGATAGATAAACAGTTAATCAGACGAAAACGTGCAAAACTCCCAGAATTCACAACGCTAAAGTGATGACCTATGTTTTCACAAGCAATTGGCCAGAATAAAACTACCGACAATTTTAATAATAAAAGGTTTACTTGTATCGTTGATAAAGACTACCAGGAACTCCTCTTTCCACAGTTACATGAATGACAAGGACGTTGTAGATGTTGATGAAGAACGCCAGCTTTTCATCCTCGCTCAGGGTAGATACGTCAACACGCTGCAGCTGACTGACAAGCAATTTAAACTTTTCCCACAATGAAGAGGATGCCATTCCCTGTAGTAAAAATTTTTTGCATAAAATTCGCAAAATTATTTTGAGATTTAAATAAAATAATATTTATAAATAAAGTAAAAATAAGTTTTAAAATGATTACCTTATAGTCGACATATTTGCCATCTGGAGAGAGAAAATCCGCGAAAAGTTTGAGAACAACTTTCCGGATATCCTGCGCAGCCTGGTCAGCAGGTGGGCTCACGCATTCAGGAGGATATTCAGTATTTAGCCCAGATAAATAGGATAATCCAAACCTAAACCAGATAGATAGGATAATCCAAACCTAAACCAGATATATAGGATAATCAAAACTTAAACCAGATATATAGGATATTCCAAACCTAAACCAGATAAATAGGATATTCCAAACCTAAACCAGATATATAGGATATTCCAAACCTAAACCAGTATAGATAGGATAATCAAACCTCAACCAGATAGATAGGATATTTCAAACCTAAACCAGATAGATAGGATATTCCAAACCTGAACCAGATAGATAGGATAATCAAATCTCAACCAGATAGATAGGATATTCCAAACCTCAACCAGATATATAGGATATTCCAAACCTGAACCAGATAGATAGGATAATCCAAACCTAAACCATATAGATAGGATAATCCAAACCTGAACCAGATAGATAGGATAACCAAAAACGAGTTCCACAATCAAATTTTGAGGTAAATCGGTCCAGGGATTCCTAAGTTTTGATCGGACAAACAAACAAACAGAGATTGCAACTTATATATAAAAATCACTAGCTGGGAACCCAGCGCTGCAAAGGCTACTAAAGTTACTCCGGCCGTTTACCCGCCCTTGAACAATTTTACCTGGAAACTATTTTTTTGCTATTAAAGTAGACCTACTCAACTTAGAATCTCAAAACTAAGCTAAGAACATTCCCGTAGTTCTCCCGAGTTACCCAATCAAAATTTGAGACAAATCGGTCCAGAGGTTCCTGAGTTATGATCGGACAAACAAACAGACAGACAAACAGAGATTACAACAATATTTATAATATAGATTTAGATGATAATAACAATAATACTATTAATTTGATTATCTATATAATAAAACAAGACATTCATATATATCTTCCCTCTTTCCGCCCAAACGGCTGGACTGAATGGGCTGATTTTTTTGTGGACACTTATGGGTGGCCTTGGGGTGACATATGCTAAAACAAATTCGAATTTTTTTTCAAATATTTTTTATCAAAATATTTTTTTTTCCACGGGCAATGCCGGCCCTTCAGCTAGTATGCAATATATCTGAATCTAGAACTATCCTACCTATACAAAGATGAATCTGGTTCAAATATCTCCTTGTTCTCTACACTAAGGATAAGATTTTTCTCCAGAATCTGCTTTAAGGTTTCAACCGCCTCTTGTTCCTCCAGTCCTTTACTTTGAACCAGGAAACTAACCAACTCACTTCCGGTTGCAGAATCAGGGACACTTCCGCAAAACAATCCCTAAATGGAAAATAAAAATTATGCTGATTATTAGGTTAGGTTGACAAGGTTGACAAAATTTCATCAAATCCTTGATTTAAAAGATTGCTGAGAAAATTGATTAGATTCTTAACCTAATTGGCATTTGTTACAATTTCACTTAATTCGTCCATTTTTAGAAGAAATCGTTTCCAAAGAAACTTTGGCTTCTCAAAAGAAAGGTTATAAAGGTAGACGAGTGAATTTTTCCCCAATGAAAGATATTGTCTTTTCCCTCTAATTTTCCCCAATGAAAGATATTGTCTTTTCCCTCTAATTTTCTCGTTTGTTTCAAAACTGATATTTGTTTAATATTATTTGTTTTCAACGTTTATATTTTATATTTTTTTAACAAGTTTCTTTTTATCATTTGTTTTGTTTCCTCAAGCACTTAGGAATAAGTATCTTTTGGATCCAGATCTGAATCCTGGATTCATTAAGTAAAAAAAAGGTACAAATCTGGATCCAGCTCAGGAATATTTTTAGATATTTTCTTAAAACAAAAAAGTTGCAAAGCTTCCTTCTCCTTTTGCTATTTTTTTATTTTGATAAAGGATGTTTTTATTTCGTTGTGTGTTCTGAGAACAGACTTGGTTTCCGTTGTTTGGGAATTTAGATCCGGATCCATAAATTTTTAAGGATTCAATTCCGGATCCGGATCCATAAATTTTTAAGGATTCAATTCCGGATCCGGATCCATAAATTTTTAAGGATTCAATTCCGGATCCGGATTCTAAGCACTAGTTTCTTACCCTTTTATTTGTTTTAAAAACTCCTTGTTCTTTGGCTTGATTAATTAGATCTACATTCTCCTCCTTTTCACAGGATACATCGCCATGCAGCACATCAGACACGCCTTCAGCCTCGCTAGGGTGGGGCAGCAGGGGGCGCTCCTCTAACATTAAACGGAAATTATCATACATTTTAAAGCTTTGGACGTTCTCGTCCTCATGATCACCCCTAAGATATCCTTAACTCCCAAAAATGGGCTTTTAAGTGCAGTTGAAAAGGATGAACAATCCCTTTAACGGCGTCAAAAATTTACACCGGCATAAGTACTGGCGAAGCGGTAAAAAAAATGTTACCAATAATTTTTAGAAAAGTTTTCTCTGACATAATTTTCTGAACAAATCCTAATAACCATGCTTGATACAGTACAGTACATACAGTACATACAGTACATACAGTACATAAAGTACTTTTAAAATCTTGGAAAATACGTCGGATGTTCAAATTACTGTAAATGTAAGTTTTTAAAACTATCGATTTAAAATTCATATGGATCCCTTTATCCCTCGGATCGCATACAATTTATAGAGATAAATAAGAAGTAAAACAAAACATAGCAGAAAGACGTAAGTCAAACATACAAAATCTGAACTAAAATAAATTTTCACCATGATTATGTCCAGTACCGTTTTTCCAGATATAGCTAACTCAATTTTTATTTTAACGTTGAGCAAAAATAAGTTTTCCCCTGAAATAAAATTTGATTTACCAGTATTTTCTTCCTCCTCCAGAACCTTGAGAAGTTCAGCTTTCCTCTCAGGGTTGGAGAATGCCTTGTTTAACTCCAGGTTCCCTCCAACATACGTAGAATTAAAGAATATCTGGGGTACACTCGTCTTTCCAGTTCTCTTGGCAACCCACTCTCTAACCAAACCAATGAATTCTATAAAATGAAATAAAGGCGTCTCTATGAGGGAGTGTGGTGTGAGGAGGGGGGGGGGGGAATAATAACACCTGCGAACATTAACTGATATTTTGTTAGACAACAAGGTGTCACAATAATTCATCTATAAGCCCCTTTGTAAACATGAAAATATCACAGCTTTTCTGTATTATTAATAACTATTTTAATTAAAGGCGCATATTCAGGAAGTTCTCCAGGGGGAGGGGGCTTCATTTTTTTCTTTTTAGGGGGCTCTGAATTTAATACATATCACTAAATTAAAAAAAAGGGGAACTGGGATGACTGAATGTCTTTTCAATGATGTTCCTAACATTTGGTGGAAACCTATCAACTCCAACATCCACATAGGTCAATCCATTCTCCTAGAGAATGCAAAATTGTTTATATTTCCAAACCCCCGGAACAAAATACTATATTCCAAATCAAAATAATTTGTATCTAAAAATCTGAAAAGTTTCTTACGAGAAACATTTCTTTACGTGTTAAATATGAACTACGTATAAATACAAACACTTGTGCTGAAACTAACTATTAATACATTATTCTTTAATACTTTCAGAAATTTTTTAATTTGATGAAATCTAAATTATATTTCTGGAGAATTATTATTACAAAAAACCTGGGAAATATTTACTTAAAAAACTTTATCAATGACTTTACCTGTAATGAGTTTTTTGCTGCAACACAATGTGGACACCCTGTAATTGAGTAAATAACTATTTTTGGTTCTGTTCCCATTTTATCCTAGGGTCAGATCTGAAATTAATTCATAAAATACTACATATAAGTGAGAGAACTATTACAGCGAGAAATACAGGGATTTATATTTATCAAATATTTTCTCATCGAAAAACCCCAAAATTTAGGATTAAGTTTGAATCTCGTTTGGTCAATATTTGTTTTTCTAAATAATATCTATTGGAAAATATAAACCCCTGGAGGAAGCCTACAAAACATGTTTTTTTTTACGTATTTTTTATTTATTTATTTCCCATGAAACGATGTTTTTTTTTGAGATTACTGAGATTTTTTGTATTAATGCGACAATATTTTGGTGTTTTAATACTAGAGGAAAATCACATAAATTAAGCGTTCTAACATTGTGTTAACTATATCTAATAAACCAATAATTCACGCACATAGTTTTAAAGGAAACAGTGAAGTTTTTATGTTTTAGAGCAAAAATAGATATATCTAAAATCTACATTACATTTGATACTGCTAGGTTTGTTACGAAATATGAAATATTCTGTTTCACAAGTTTATCATTTTCTGAAATGCCTAGAATTCTAGATCACAAGGTTTTTAGAATTCTAGATGATGTATCTTTTTTCTTAATTCTAGATAACCAGGTTTCTAGAATTCTAGATAATACAACTTTTTTCTAGATTCTAGATAACAAGGTCTCTAGATTCTAGATATGATAGGTTTCTAAATACTAGAGCACTATATTTCTACATTTATAGATAACCAGGTTTCAAGATTATAGATCACCAGGTTTTTACATTTATAGATCACCAGGTTTCTAGATTATAGATCATCAGGTTTCTAAATTTATAGATAACGAAGTTTCTAGATAATAAATCACCAGGTTTCTAGATTATAAATCACCAGGTTTCTAAATTATAAATCACCAGGTTTCTAGATTTTAGATAACCATGGTTCTAGATAATAGATAACCAGGTATCTATAGATTGTAGATAACCAGGTTTTTAGATTATAGATCACCAGGTTTCTATATTCTAGATCACAAGGTTTATAGATTTTAGATCACCAGGTTACTTTATTCTAGATCACAAGGTTTATAGATTCTAGATCACCAGGTTCCTATATTCTAGATCACAAGGTTTATAGATTCTAGATCACCAGGTTCCTATATTCTAGATCACAAGGTTTATAGAGTATAGATCACCAGGTTTCTATATTCTAGATCACAAGGTTTATAGACTATAGATCATCAGGTTTCTAGATTTTAGATCACCAGTTTTCTAGATTTTAGATCCCAAGGTTTCTAAATTATTGATATACCTGGTTTCTAAATTCAAATCACCAAGGTTTCTAGATTCAAAATCACCAGGTTTCTAGATTTAAATCACCAGGTTTCTAGATTTCTGATCTACAAAGTTTGGTCCACAAATTCTTGATTCATCTGACAGGATTATCTTTAATCATCCTAGAATATATTCTAGATTTATTCACAGGGTTTAACAAATTATCAAATTATTTATTTCGACCCAGAATAATCTTACAAATATAATTAAAAGTTGATAGAGGTTATATTTAGCTTTTTTTGCAGTGAAAATGAAGGCTAATGGATATTTGTAGACGCAACAAGGAAGTTTGTAAGGGGGGGGGGGGGAGGCAGAGAGATTCAAATTAAAATTAAACAAGAACGGACAAAATGAGTTTTTTTTTTTAAATCTGAGAGGACAGCCTCAGATAAAAAAGATTCTCCCAGCCCCACCACATTGATGGACCTCTGGTAACCAATACCTGTCAAGGGTGGTTAGAAACAGTTCCAAGTCTGGCGGGGACTCCAGCTGATGGGTGCTGTTCTTCCTGTAGATCAAATCTACATCTTCACTGGCAAGACTCAGGCAAAGCTTAAATATTTCAAGATTAAAGTGATAATTCAATTTTCGAATAAACCAAGATAAACTTTCCCTTTGAACATATAAAATTCAAAAAGATTATTTACCTTCATAGACTGGTCGGATGGTATCTCTCGGTCATTAAGACCATGAATTATTCTGACTGGACAAGTAATATCTAGAGTTTTGCTCAGATCTAACTCGTACTGTAAGCTATCCGCGGCAAAATCTTCCTTCAAGAGCGCATTTCCGTACTCGTGGGTGTGCACGTGGGGATCTCCCGCTTCCAGCCGCCGGCGCGTCTAAATATTATATGGTCACAGCAGATCAAACTGGATACAATTTAAGAACTAGACTTGACAGGATAGAAGGGATATCAGTACTACAGGATACCTACTACTACAACTTGTTAAACGCAGAAGAATGTCATTGTAGTATGATTCAAGAAAACAATAGTCATGGTAACTATCATACCAAACTAAACTAAACCTTGCACCACTACTACTACATCTAGTTAAACGCAGAAGAATGTCATTGTAGTATGATTCAAGAAAGCAATAGTCATGGTAACTATACCAAACTAAACTAAACCTTGCACCACTACTACTAAATTTTGTTAAACACAGAAGAATGTCATCGTAGTATGAGTCGTGATAACTTTACCAAACTATACTAAACCTTGCACCACTAAACTAAACCTAATGAAATTAAACTAATCCTCATGAAATAAAATTAATCGTAATGAAATTCAACTAATCCTAATGAAACTAAACAAATCCTAGTGAAACTAAACCAATCCTAATGAAACTATAAAACAATCATGAAACTATACCAATTCTAGTGAAACTAAAACAATTCTAATAAAACTGAAATAATCCTTATGAAACTAAACTAATCATCATGAAACTAAACTTATCCTCATGAAACTAAACCAATCCTAATAAAACTATAATAATCCTTATGAAACTAAACAAATCAACATGAACTAAACTAGTTCTCATGAAACTAAACCAATCCTCATGAAACTAAACTAATCCAAAGAAACTAAGATAATCCTTATGAAACTAAACGTATCCTCATGAAACTAAACTAATCCTCATGAAACTAAACTAATTCTCATGAAACTAAACTAATTCTCATGAGACTAAACTAATCCTCGTGAAACTAAACTAATCGTGATGAAACTAAACCATGAAACTAAAATAATCCTAACTAAACTTCAAATCCTTATAAAAAATTAATCTAATCCTCATAAAATTATACCAGTCATAATGAAATGAATTATTTCTAGAAAAAACTAAAATATTTACATCTGGAGGGAGTTGAGCTTTGTGTCTATGGTAGTGTTGCCAAACGTAGTTCAGAGCCGGAGAAAACAAGACTTAAAATAATAAAGATAAAAATTAAAACAAAAACTTGTGAAATTCAAACTCACCTAAACCATGCAATCTCTCCTTCAGCTTGAGGCCGGTGATGATAGAAAGCCAGCCTCCGATAGAGGACCCGACGAGGACAACGGGACCCTCTGTAAGCTTCTCCGTGACCGCCAGCGCATCCTCGACCCAGTTAGTGAACAAAACCTTCTTTAGATGACCTTTGCTAGATTGGCCGGAACATTCATGGTCGTAGACAACGCAGGAGTAATCATGCATGTCACAATATCTAGAAAATTGATTGATTGAATTTATAATTTTTTTTTTCTCGGCATATTGGGTGACATGTTTTTTATGCTAAATTTTGAGGAATTAGAATTATAATTTTTTATCAGTCCCCGGCTTACAACAAATTCTGCAATATGCATTGTAACCCCAGAGTTTCAGTAAGAGAATGTTCTTTAAATTAGAATATGCCCTTAATTCAGTTACTTCACAATGGAACAGTAAACTATCTTAAATTCTTAAAACTGATATTATGCCTTCAACATTTAAAGGTACACTGAGTTCTTGTCACATACTCAGAATTTTTAATTCCTTTAATTATCTTTGCAACCCGATGTCGTAGACCCTTAGATATTTCAAACTATGAATTCTATTATATCAAATATAAAAGGTTTACCACCATCAGGTCGCCAAAATATAGGGATTAGAGCTTGTAAAATTTATCGGTTAATTTTAGCAGCAAAGTCAAGCAAAAATGTACTCTTGCCCAATTTACTGTTAAGCAACTGATTAAATAAATGGTAACATCAAAATACGAAAAGAATCCTTTATAAAGGAACTGTCCTAGTAATTCTAATTAAAACTCCATTTAAAGAAGGATATGCCCGATACACAACAGTACCTTTAAAACCTCTATCTGATCAATAATGTGACAGATATGTTGGTCACTTACATAAAGAAACCATAATTAAAATAATCTATTTGTAGAAAGAAAAACATAGATTCCTTCTTGCATTCACAAAAGTAAAATGGATACCGTCAAATATCGGGTATGCACCTCTTTAAATGAAGGGTTAAAATTTCGTCTCCAACCCCTTTAATAATGTAGACCTGAGTAAACAGGAAGCCTTTTGTCCGTTCATGTGTGTATAGGAGTGGAGACCAGGGATCATTACAACCGTGGGTTTCCTCTGCCCAGGGATTATCTGGTAGGCAACCGACCTAGAAATATTGTTCTCTTTATAATTGATTAATTATTTGATCGCTTGTTTCCAAATTTCGTGTTTTGATTAAAATATTTGATTAAAAATCTTATTTAATTGATTATCTAATTAATTGATGAAACGATTAATTGATTTTTTAAATAATAATTGTTGATTTATTGTTTGATTGATTAAAAATCAAATAATAAATCAATTTATTCAATTATTTATTCCTTTATTAAATAACTAGGCTTTTATCTACTAAAAAAGTTTGCGGATTTCATAACAATTTTTCTCTCATTTTCAAAATTTTACAAAAGTAAAAGCAGTTTTGACGTTTATTGGATACAAATAGACAAACAGACAGACAGACAAGCAAAGTATATTATCAAATAATTTTCGTTTCATCAAAAACGGTCAGAAAAATATCGCATTCTGAAAAATAAAAAAATCTTCCTTTCTCTTCATATTCTGCTTTTTGTTTGTTTTTCTTTATTTATATTCTTGTAGGTCACGCATTTATCTAAAACAATTTCAACACAAAACATTATTTTAGTAACGACATCAGGAAAGTGTGGGTTGACCTCAAAATTATCATTTACCTTCCTTCTGCGACTTTGAGGAAGTTGGTGTTTTAACCTCTAAACTTTATTTACCTTCCTTCTCCGACCTCAAGGAAATATATGTTTAACCTCTAAACTTTATTTACCTTCCTTCTCCGACCTCAAGGAAATATATGTTTAACCTCTAAACTTTATTTACCTTCCTTCTCCGACCTCAAGGAAGTGAGTGTTCAACCTCGAAACAGAAACATTTCTCTGCTGAGGTCGGAAATATTCCTTCAAAACCTGAATGGAAAATTAAAATTTTTTTCGATTTACAATTCAGTTTTTTAGTTGAGTTTTTAAAAAGATATATAAATACATTTTAATTTATCTTACATATAAATTCATGGTTCAGTGGTTTATATATATTTTTTAATTATCTCACCCCCCCCCCCCCCCCGTCCCCCACTAGGGATTTTGACAAAAGATGAAAAATTGCAAGATACTTCAAATCATCAACTTTCTTAAAAACTGTTTTAGTCTCATATTTAGTAAAGAACACTTACAAAAGTGAGAAAAATTTATTTCTGGGGGGGGTGATTTTCCAAAAAAAATATATACCCCTGTTTCCACGTTTCTTGAATTCAGGTACAAACCTTAGAAGTTGACTGACACCAACTTCTGGCGCGACTTGACCCCTGGTGCAGCATTCTACTCAACTAATTTAGTAAATATTTAACTTCTTAATAAATAAAAGGGAATATTCCCGAAATTTTAAATGAAACCTTAAATAAAAGGTTTCTTTTGAAAACAGATAAAGTTTTATAAAGTATCAAGTCGATAACTAATTTCTCATTTATACTCATTAACCTATTACCCATGCAGTTGCTAACGACAATATGTAATTAAAAACATAAGACTTTTCTATCTACGCAAAGTGTCATGTGAAATACCATTGATAGTCCCTTTAATGCATACAAATTTTATATATGTAATATATAGCAGGTTTAGACACGGTTTCCCGAAAGGGGGGAACGCAAAAAATCGATTTAACTAGCAGTTTAAGAAGAAATATTTTTAACAATTTTTATGCTCTGCATTAAACCCAAATAAAATTTCCGCTTTCTCCTATCTGGAGGCGTAACAGGAGGGGGGGAGGACACCGAATATACTCATTTTGTTACCTCAAGGTGTGAGGGGGGGAAGGGGCTGAGGCGAGGCCCTATACGCCCTATAGATATTTGCAAATGGTTAAAACGTAACTCTGAGATAGTACTCTATATTTTTCCAGGTGTAGTTTTACGCTTCAAAAAAATTTCCGAATTTTGAATTTTTTTAAAAATGTAAATTTTTAAACGGACATTCCTGATCCCGTCGTGTAGGTCAATGAAACATTTTATCTGAAAGGGAATGTTCATTGTTAATTGTTAATTGTAAGATAGAAGAATATAAATAACCACATACAATCTAGATAATACAGAGATATATAAATAATATTTTTTAATGGTTAATATTGATAATAATACAATAGTCTTGAAACATGCAGAAATCATGAGAGTTTAAGGCTAAATAAATAACAATTCATCAATTCAATTTAATAATCTTTTATTATTTATAATCCTAATTTAATGTTTCATGTTTAATCCCTACAACTAAACTTAACAATCCCTACAACTGGTTAGTGTAACATTAGTAATCCCTACAACTAGTTAGTGTAAGATTAATAATCCCTACGACTAGTTATTGTAACGTTAACAATCAATTAACAACTAGCAAGTGTAACTTGATAATCCCTACAACTAATTAGTGTAACATTGATAACCCTACAACTAATTTGTAGACCATTAATAATCCCTGCAATTAGTTGACAATATGAAAATGTTCCAGAAAAATTAAATTAACTGGAAATACGCCATTTCCTGAGGACAAACCAATTTGCAAAAAATCGACCAAATAAAAAATTAGTTCGATGACGATTGATGAAATTTAATCATAAAGGGTCAATTTTCTTGTTAATTAAAAATATTGATTCCAAAACAGACGTAAATTAAATAAACATATCATAGATACAAAACACATCTCGATAGGCTACCACATATTCACAACCACTTAAAGTTGAATTTTACATTTATCATTCTATTCAAATTGCAAGGTTAAGTAATCTAAATTACTAAATCGCTTTAATAAATTCTTATTTAAATAATACTAATTAATACATCTTTGGTGATAAAATCAAATTGTGCACTTACAACCATTTATTAAAATACACCCTTCAAAATTCAAATTGTCTACTTACAACCATTTATTAAAATACACCCTTCAAAATTCAAATTGCCGATAAAAATTTAAGAATGAAGAAGATCACATTAAATGTACGGGAGAGCAAAATATCAAAAAGAAAATAATTTTTATGATTTCAAATTTTTTTACTCATATAATTTGCAGGAGAAAAAATATCTTTGAATATTTAAGAATAATGAAAAATATCGTTTGCTCCAGATGTATTTTTTAACAATGTTTAAAATTTCTTTTAAATATAATTTTTGTAAAATAAAATGGTACGAGGCATAGTTAATTTTTTCAAATGTTCATCATTCATCTTTTCTCTCCTTTCTCCATCTGCGCATTCGCAGTTTCTCTTTTTCTTGCCTTCCTTTGCCCGTCCATTTATGGCGCTGCTTTTGAAAGAATTTTTATGAGTCGCTGTCTTTGCGCCATTATAAAACAGTGCAGGATCACCATTTCATTGTGTAGAAGTACCCCTCTCCGTTTTTTTGTGTCGCTTAATTGTATTTGCAACCTCAGCGCTGAACATTCTGTCTAGTTGCATTGGTAAGGTCATCACTTCTAGCACTTCAAGTTAGTTTCTATTTCCAGTGGTGGAGCAATAGCTTCCTTGCTATGAACTGCACATTATTACTTTTCTGTACAAGGAGGGTTGATATTCAACGAAGGATAATCAAGTGACCCGCTCAGAGGTAATTTTGTTTTTGGATCCAACAGAGAAATGTCCCCGAGTCTCATTTCGCTGCTTGTGAGAAGGTTAGATGGTAGGTCGAGGAGAGTTGAAGATGAGGATAAGGGTTTGTAGCAGTGGCGTATCAGGAATATTTTATAAACACTCTATTAGTCCACATGTTACACTGTTTCCAAGTCCAGCGGAGCGGAATTCCTTAGGAAGTATCGCATTTAGTGTGCACCACTGCATGCAGAATGCGGAGTTGCCCCTTTTAACTGCTCTGCTCAGGAAGCAGGGAAAGGGCCCATTCAGAAAGGGCTCAGATCACTTACTGGAATGGATATAAAACCAGATTAGTATTATACATAGAAGCTCTTTGTTATTCCTATTTCTTGACTAAGTACCCCGTGCCGTGGCTATGTAGTTAAGAAGGAGGCTAGCTAATTGAGCAAGAGGTTCAGAGCCGCTTGGCCTTCCCTCCCTCCTTATGTGCAGATACCTTTCTCAGCGTCCACTGCAAATAGTGCAGAGAGCTTTCTAGCAGAGCTCTGTTATCCTAGGCTGTAGGAATGCAACTGTGCTCGAGATGTATATATTTCATTATATATACAGAGTGTAGTAATCCCTGTTTGTTTGGATTTCATAACTTATGAACCCCTGGACCGATTTGCCTCAATTTTTGATTGGGGAACTTGGTAGAGCAACGAGAATGATTTCAGCCTGGTTTAAAAATTCTAAGTTAAGTAGGACTTCCAGGCAACGCAGGGTTTCAGGCGAGTAATGTACATCATTGTACAAAGGGCGTATTAAGTGTATAGACACACAAGAAGAAATGCCCCCTCCCCCCGTAATCATACACCAAGGCACAACTAAACACAATCAAAAAATATATATAATTTTTAGTAAAAAAACATTTCGTTTAGATAAGAATTTAACTATCCTTTCACACTGAATCTATGCATGCGAAGGGTTTCCTTTTAAAGATTAAGAAAAATTTAAAATTATTTTCCAGAAACAGGGATGTGTACAGAATTAAATCCACNAAGCAACACGGAAGTTCAAGAATTTCGTAAAAAATTAAATTAATTTTAGATCTAATGAGAATTGCATTTTTTCTATATTTTTACATTAATACATATATTTACTCAACCTTAAAGTTGATTTTGTCGAATATTTTAAACAGTAAACACAACACATTCAATACTTTATGTAAATTGTACAACAGGGTAGACACTATAGACATACTTGACACATTTCACAGTTGACGTTCACCATAAGTAACAAAATAGATTTATAAAGACGATCATTTGGGTGATTTATAGACCTACGTTCTCTGTAGGCCATTAATTAACTACATTTAAAGGAGTTTAAGACGTTAACTCTGATTTAAGTAGATCTAATCCCGAAGAGTTAGGATGACCTGTACTGAAATTAGTTTCGATTTTCTACTCTTCAACTGGATTCGTTATGAAATGATAAACAAAATTGGATTTCTTTCTCTCCACCAGCTGCTGACTGCTCTTCGTCTTGTAGGAGCAGTCCGGGGGATCCTAGATATTAAAGGGATTGTCAATTGCCATGAATCCTTTAAAAACATTTAGCAGATTTGGAAATTGACGAAAACGGACAATTTTTTGTTTTTGATATATTTTTCTTCAGATTTTTTTTAAATACATTTTTTCTTTTTTTTTACATAACTGTTAATTTAGATATTTCATTATTATTTCATGAATACTTTTCCAAAACAATTAATTTAAAACACTAAAACTTTGTGTTTTCTAATGTTAAGATCAATCTTGTCAATTAACTCACTTTTTCCCCAATCAAATTAGACTTGTTGGGACCGATGGGGCAAATAATTAATAAAAAACGAAAAAATTATGAAAATTGTAAAAATTCAAATTTCTCAATTTCCTATAAAAAATTTACCCTAAGGAAGAGTGTGCAGAAGAGGGTTGCCAGGATTTTAGGATCTATTCCGTTAGAATATGATCGTGCGAAAACCTCACGCAGAAAAGCTAAAAATATAAAAAGTTATCAATAGGGGGTCTCTTGACGGCTTGTGGTTCAGATATCTATACTTAATTTTAATGTTCTAAGCTTAATATGACGACCGTATACTATTCAAATAATAAGTTCAAGATGATTTTATAATCGTTTATATCAAGTTAGAGAATATTGGATCGCGCGTGTTAAAGCTCAAATAGCGATTTACGGGACTAATCATGAAAAGAACGAATCTTTTTTTAAAAATTGTATATTGCTAATTTAAAGATTTGCATGCAGTTTTTCGAGTTTTGTGTGCGTATTCAGCGTTATAGCTTGGAGATAATCTAATATGATATGGGATGCTCTGTATGTCGGTTACCCTGTGCATATTACATTTTTCTGTTGGCATTCAAAATCTAAGCTATTGAAGTAATGATAATAACAATAATGCTGATATTAATAATAATAAAAATGATGATAATAATGATAATAATAATACTAATGATAATAATAATACTTAACCGATGAGATAATCGAATAAGTGTTTATGATTAGTTGGAAGCTGGCTTGCAATCTGCTTACACTGCAGATAGCTCCCAGAGAACTCGATACAACGGTTCAACATACTAAACACATCAAAGTGGTCACAACTGTTGCATTTTTAATCAATTTAGCGCTAATCCGTGCTTTTTGTAGTTCTTCTGGAGGTCTCTAATCCGAGGATTTAACCTATGAATTTTGTCTGCTAAAAATCCACCATTTAGAAGAAAAATCTGCTCTTAACCAATACTAATGCTAACTTGAAACTACTCGAACAAGTTGTCATATACATTCCAATAATCTTTTTAAAATATTCGAATAATCTTTTAAAATGAAAATCCGCGAAATATGCAGCTTAATATCATTTCTGAGAATCATTAAACGGAAAACGATAGGTAGTTGTTCAGGGAGGAGTAGTTTAAATCCCGTAATCCCATTATATACTTTTTAATCCCTATTTTATATTTTAATTCCATATTATATCCTTTAATCCCTTATCATATCCTTTAATCCCATATCATATCCTTTAGTCCTACATTATATTCTTTAATCCCATATTGTATCGTTTAATTCTACATTATTTCCGTTAATACCATATTATATCCTTTAATCTCATATAATATTATCCTTTAATCCCAAATTATATCCTTTAATACCATATTATAACCTACAATTCCAAATTATATTCTACCTGTAAGGAATAACCGGTTCCCTAAGGGATTCTAGGAATATAAGAAGGGATTCTGCTACACTATGGATTGAAACTTCAGGTCTACACACAGAATAATATTTAAAAATATTCGTTTTTGTTTTTATTTGACAAGACACCAGAAATCATGATTTAAATGAAAAACTAAGAAAATGTCCTACAGAACGAATTGATGACATTCAACTTTAATTCATCTATCAACTGATATGGGTCTGCGAAAAGTGAACAATATACATAGCACACTTTTCATAATCACTTAACAATAACCCATCAGTTATCTTCTTAGAGGCTAGCTAATTGAGCACGGGGTTCAGGGCCGCTTGGCCTTCCCTCCCTCCATATGTGCAGACAACTTTCTCAGCGTCCACTGCAAATAGTGCAGAGAGCCTTCTAGCAGAGCTCTGTTATCCTAGGCTGTAGGAATGCAACTGTGCTCGAGATGTATATATTTCATTATATATACAGAGTGTAGTAATCCCTGTTAAAGTCTATAAATATTTGAATTCTATTTGGGATTAAAAAAATATTATTTCCTTTGTTCAGGTAGACCAGTGTCCAACCAGTCCCGGAGCTGTAATATTTCCTGCCTAGTAATTAAAGGGAGATTATTAATATTATTATTATTAGTATTCAACCTACACTCAAGTATTGTTTCCTGTAGGTTAACTGAGCTCCAGATCTTATTAAAGGGATCGACTGTTAACGTGTTTTTCATAATTCTCCGCCGTGCAATTTCACTTTTATCAACGAAACAAAATTAAGCTTTATTTAGTCCTTCCTGCACCACAGCTTTTCTAGATTTGTAATACCAAGACGGGGATTTGCTCCATTCAAGTATCAAAAACTAAGACAGGTAAGGCATACTAATGAGAAAACTACTTCATAATAATATCAAGGTCCTCGTCTGTATTTTGTAAAATTTTTCCATGGGTGTTTGTTTGCTTGTTCCCCACAGTGAGGGGAACCAAGCTACCAAGGTCACATTTTGTTGTTTTAGTCCGGAAAGGCTAGAAAAATTTCCTATCAAAAATTACAATGGAAAAATTATTAAAAATATTAATTGTGTAAATTATGATTTATGAAATTTAAATGAACATAGATTCAAAGATTAGAAGACACCAGCATGTCACTAGGAAGAAGGTGCGCGGAGGGCCCTGAATGTGCTCTTTGTTTTACCTTATTCCGGGCTGAAGAAACAAGTTCTCTTGTCCTAGCCCTGAAGTCTTCATCATTTCACAGAGAAACCAAACCTCCTTAGGGATATCGTAGTTCGGGGATACTCCGGATACAAGGTAGGATTCAGGACTAAACATAGAGTATCTAGGATTCAGGACTAAACATAGAGTATCTAGGATTCAGGACTAAACATAGAGTATCTAGGATACAGGACTAAGCATGGAGTATCTAGGATTCAGGACTAAACATAGAATATCTAGGATACAGAACTAAACATAGAGTATCTAGGATTCAGGACTAAACATAGAGTATCTAGGATACAGGACTAAACATACAGTATCTAGGATACAGGACTAAACAAAGAGTATCTAGGATTCAAGACTAAACATAGAGTATCTAGGATACAGGACTAAACATAGAGTATCTAGGATTCAGGACTAAACATAGAGTATCTAGGATTCAGGACTAAACAGAATTCAGGACTAAGCATAGAGTATCTAGGATTCAGGACTAAACATAGAGTATCTAGGATTCAGGACTAAACAGAATTCAAGACTAAACATAGAGTATCTAGGATTCAGGACTAAACATAGAGTATCTAGGATTCAGGACTAAACATAGATTATCAAGGATTCAGGACTAAACATGGAGTATGAATTCTTACATTTTATTGAATTCTCCTTTCTCTAGACTAACAACCTCGGCAGATGTGAGCTGTGAGATTGGAACCTTGAGACGTACTAAACTATCCAGACTGCAACCAAAACATGACTTCTCGTACGTTCCCAAAGCCTGGAAATCAATTATACTTAATACATTAATGGGACTGCAGGCGTATTTTCAAGTAAATGACCCACCCTTCATTTATGATGTGGCATGTCCGATCCACATCGGTGCACTTAATAGTTTTGTATGATTCAGAATTGATTACTTTTTGTGGTTTCTCTATCAAAAGACAGAAACACAATAGGAGGACATTTTTCGAAAACTTAAAGCTAGCAAAAACGACGATATCTTCCACATTATTGATTAGATCAAGGTTACAGGATACCATCATGAATCGGGCATTAAATGGAGAATCACTTGAAATTACAAGGACAGTCCCTTTAAAACCGAAGAGTAAACACTACCGTACAGTCCCTTTAAGACCGAAGAGTAAACGCTACCGTACAGTCCCTTTAAGACCGAAGAGTAAACGCTACCGTACAGTCCCTTTAAAACCGAAGAGTAAACCCTACCGTACGATCCCTGAAAGACCGAAGAGTAAACGCTACCGTACAATCCCTGTAAGACCGAAGAGTAAACGCTACCGTACAATCCCTGTAAGACCAAAGAGTAAACCCTACCGTACAATCCTTTTAAAACCGAAGAGTAAACCCTACCGTACAATCTCTGTAAGACCAAAGAGTAAACCCTACCGTACAGTCCCATTCAGACCAAAGAGTAAACCCTACCGTACAGTCCCTTTAAAACCGAAGAGTAAACCCTACCGTACAGTTCCTTTAAGACCGAAGAGTAAACGCTACCGTACAGTCCCTTTAAGACCGAAGAGTAAACCCTACCGTACAATCCCTGTAAGACCAAAGAGTAAACCCTACCGTACAATCCCTGTAAGACCAAAGAGTAAGCCCTACCGTACAGCCCCATTCAGACCAAAGAGTAAACCCTACCGTACAGTCCCTTTAAGACCGAAGAGTAAACACTACAGTACAGTCCCATTCAGACCAAAGAGTAAACCCTACCGTACAGTCCCTTTAAGACCGAAGAGTAAACCCTACCGTACAGTCCCTTTAAGACCGAAGAGTAAACACTACAGTACAGTCCCATTCAGACCAAAGAGTAAACCCTACCGTACAGTCCCTTTAAGACCGAAGAGTAAACCCTACCGTACAGTCCCTTTAAGACCGAAGAGTAAACACTACCGTACAATCCCTGTAAGACCGAAGAGTAAACCCTACCGTACAATCCCTGTAAGACCAAAGAGTAAACCCTACCGTACAGTCCCTTTAAGACCGAAGAGTAAACCCTACCGTACAATCCTTGTAAGACCAAAGAGTAAGCCCTACCGTACAGTCCTTTTAAGACCGAAGAGTAAACACTACCGTACAGACCCATTCAGACCAAAGAGTAAACCCTACCGTACAGTCCCTTTAAAACCGAAGAGTAAACCCTACCGTACAGTCCCTTTAAGACCGGAGAGTAAATCCTACCGTAATAAAAAGATCCTTGCCACCAAGAAGATGTAGAACCAGGATATCATCTAGTTTATCCTGCCCAGAGTTCAGGAGACAGGCCGTCTTCTTATCCACATAAACTTCCAGGGTTACCTCACACTTCTCTCCTAGTACACAAATATACTGTATCTAGTACAATAGATGGCAACGTAGAATTGGGACACTCTCAGTACAGCTGTATTCTGACGTCACTCGAGTGTCAATTCAGTTTTTGTGTCCGACAAATTATTGATAATAGTGATAATTTTAGAATAAAGTTCTTATCTGACAGTAAAATAAGTGCAATTTTATGTGTTCTGTTTTTATTAAATCTTGGGAAACATTTCAACTAATATGAGAAAATTTCGTTTTCCTTGACACTTAGGACGTCGTGTATAATTGGTCTAGTTCTCTGTTGCCACCTATTGTACTTGATAATTTATCTGAGGTAAACTAAGAGTAGAACAAAGAAGGGAGGGGAATAGGGGTTGTTTGCATTTTACTGGTTTTAGTGTTTACAATAACTAAGACAGTAAACAAGGCTCGGTTTTCCTGAGAAGGATAGGAGGGTCGTGCTTGAGATATTACTGTTTACTAAACTAGTTCTTGAATTGTTGTCGTGGATTAGTTGTGCTCGGTGCGCCAAGTTAAACTATAACTCACTAGTGGAAAGCAATTGAACTAGGTACGGGTATTTGAACTACTTATTCTTTTTTAAATTAAAGACTAAAGCGGGTTAATAATGGTATTAAAGCATTATAAAATAAGCGATAAATTGGTAGTATATATTAATTAACTAACAAACAAAAAAAGTATCCTTACTTGATTTTAAAATATAAAGGGCGAATTGGTGAAGAAAAGGGGTCAAAATCTGACCATTTTCCGGAAAACCACAGTGAAATGAATTTAATACTAAAAAGTTTTTGATTCTGAAACTTTGAAAAAAAATTAACAAAAGATCTTTTTTGGGCCAATTTTCCTTGATATTTTCTCTTCAGATACAGATATATTACTAAGTGTTATCATGACAAACTTTTTAGAATAGTTTTAAAATGTTAGAAAGTTCACAGAACTTGGAGCCTTTTACATGTCCAAGACTACCCTAAAACGTTATTTCCCATCACTGCTCTAATACCTGGCATAATAAACCCGGAGCTAGGTTCAGCTTTCAGCCAGGGTTTACAGTAGCTCTTCTGTCCAGGTTTCTGGATGAACTCGAACTGAACCGGAACCTGTCCTGTGTTGGCAATAGCCAAGGTCTGCTGACAAGGTTGAATAAACTTGACAGTTCCGAACTGTATATCCGTCATATCCACCATCACCTGAACGCAAATATAGGTTCAGATACAAAACTAGAATGCATATTTTCGCGTAAAAGCTAAAAAAATTATTTTTTTGTTCTAAAAAAAAGATCATCAGTCTGTGATTATGGCCGAGTAGTCAAAAAAAAATTAACCTGGGGAAGGAAGTCGTTCTCTAGCATATCAAGTTTTTTCATAATCTCCTCTCTTATCTTCTGTTTCTTAGCTCGATCTATCACTTTTATCCCAACATTGAACAGCGCAGAGACGGGTTTATGATCGCTAACCTAGAAATCAAATTGTTAAAAGGAAGATATTACTTGAACTACAATAAACTCCAAATATGATTTAAACAAGATCTTTATACTACCGGCCATAAGCTCCATTCAAGTTCTGTATCCTTACATAAGCAACATATTAGAATTAGATCTATATTCTACCATAAGCTCCATATTAGATCTATATCCTACCATAAGCTCCATATTAGATCTATATCCTACCATCACCATAGGCTTCATATTAGATCTAAATCCTACTGTAAGCTCCATATGCGATCTATATCCGACCATGAACTCCATATTAGATATATATCTTACCATAAGCTCCATATTAGATATGTATCCTACCATAAGCTACGTATGAGCTCTATATCCTACCATAAGCTCCATATGAGATCTATATCCTACCATAAGCTCCATATGAGATCTATATCCTACCATAAGCTCCATATGAGATCTATATCCTACCATAAGCTCCATATGAGATTTATATCCTACCATAAGCTCCATATTAGATCTATATCCTACCAAAAGCTCCATATGAGATCTATAAGCAGTCTGATGAATATGTTCTCCGGTCCAGAGGATTCGATCCGTCCAGGCCGGAGGCCGGGCCTTCTCACTGGAGTCCCAAATATTAGTTCCCGGATCGTACTTGTAAGTTGGTTGGAACGTGATTTCTCCTTCTTGGAACCCGACGAAAACTTTTCTTTGGTGTCTTTGCTGGAAGAATTGATCGTTTTTCATCAGCTCTGCGATATTTTGCTCTTTCAGGTATTCTTTAACTTCACCGGTATCCAACCCTACTCGGAGATAATGTTTATTAAATACAAAAACTTAAACTTAAAGTTGCCCCCCCCCCCCATTCAGACAGTCTTCGATAATTCACAGTGGTGTCCTTATCGTCGTTTTTAAACGATTGGTTTTTAGTTTTTAAAGCCAATATATAAATAAGGTCAACCATCATTCTTCAAGGACATTGGTGTGAATCGTTTAATCCCCCAAAAAGATAATGGGTCAATTTTAATAATTTGAATAATTTGGTTGCTTCAATATTCATCCTGCAAGGGCACTTCGAAAAGAAAGGCCACTGTAAAATTATTTTTTTTCTTTTAAATAATATTTAATGATTATTATCTCCTGCCTGCTAATCTATAGTTGAGATCTCCCAACCAGAATATATTTTCATGATCTAATTCCAAACCCTGTTAGTTTTTTTTTGAATATTAAAACTTCAGAATTTAAAAAAAGTTCGACTCCAAGGAAGAGAAACAAAATATTTTTTATTTTACAGTAAGTTTAAAAAACTAACAACATTCCTTTGATTTTTAGCGAGGTGAAGGGTTTAGTTTCACTCTCCAACTTTTCAAAATTTACAAAATTCATCCGTGCGTTGATATCACTGTAGTCTTGATTTCTTCGCTCGTACTCCTCCACGTGTGCCGCTAAGTGACTGTTCACGAAACAGATATCGGAGGCATGGAACCGTAACCGTGTTCCCACTCCGCCCTTGTTCCCCAGCTTCCCCATGATACCTGTTCCCACCGTATCCACGCATATATTGGAGATATGCCCAGTTAACTCATTTCTAGACAAACAAGAAAATTGAATTAAATCATCTGAGCAGGGAACTTTTGAATAGTGGATATCGGGATTAATACTTGATCTCCTCTTTTTCTTTATCTGCAGATCAAATACTGCTTGTTCTCCTCTTGTTATTAATCTCCAGATTAATTAATACATCGGGATATCCCAGTCTAAAGTTTTCAGCTCTGAGAGATAAATAACAAGAGGAAAACAAGCATTATTTGATCTGGAATTAAGAAAAAGAGTGGATCAAGCATTAATCTCGATATCCGCCATTCTAAAGTTTTCAGCTCTGATTATATAAATAAATAAATAAAAACGTTATCATTAGCAAGGGTGGGGGAGGGGCGGGTGTATCGTTTAATGGCTGAGCCCCATCCCCTCCCGTCCCGATAAATTTAAAAAAGGAAAGCCCATGGACATATTCTTATATACACCATACTTAAAAGTAAGTACGAAAAAGTGTCAAGTCAGTATGGCCCATGCTTGTTGTAGGCGGGAGGGTAGATGCAGGGGAACATTGTTAAGGGGGGGGGGGGGCACGCAGGTCTTTTGACGGAGGTGTGATATGTAAATATTAATTACAATGACAAAAACAATTAAGTGTATTCATATTTGAATCAGTGATAATCTATACCTGGAGTAAACGATTAGAAGCATCCCAACCAAACGAATATGTCGTATAAGGGTATATTTTGCTCCGGGATGAAGGGATTCCTTGACAGCTTTCATCCATTCATCCTCTTTTATAGACTCAGGGAACACGAAAGCCTCCTTACTAACAAATTAATATTCTTGAAAAGAAAAAACAAAGTGTGCTTATACAGAGAGAAAAGAAGGGAGTGTAGGTAGTGAGAACAGAGACCAAAGAAGGGAGTGTAGGTAGTAGTAGAACAGAGACCAAAGAAGGGAGTGTAGGTAGTAGGAACAAAGAGCAAAGAAGGGAGTGTAGGTAGTAGGAACAGAGACCAAAGAAGGAAGTGTAGGTAGTGGGAACAGAGAGCAAAGAAGGGAGTGTAGGTAGTAGGAACAGAGACCAAAGAAGGAAGTGTAGGTAGTGGGAACAGAGAACAAAAAAGGGAGTGTAGGTAGTGGGAACAGAGACCAAAGAAGGAAGTGTAGGTAGTAGGAACAGAGACCAAAGAAGGAAGGAACAGAGAGCAAAGAAGAGAGTGTAGGTAGTAGAAACAGAGAGAAAAGAAGGGAGTGTGGGTAGTGGGAACAGAGCGCAAAGAAGAGAGTGAAGGTAGTGGGAACAGAGACCAAAGAAGGGAGTGTAGGTAGTAGGAACAGAGAGAAAAGAAGGAAGTGTAGGTAGTAGGAACAGAGAGAAAAGAAGGAAGTGTAGGTAGTAGGAACAGAGAGCAAAGAAGGGAGTGTAGGTAATAGGAACAGAGAGAAAAGAAGGAAGTGTAGGTAGTAGGAACTGAGAGCAAAGAAGGAAGTGTAGGTAGTGGGAACAGAGAGCAAAGAAGAGAGTGAAGGTAGTGGGAACAGAGAGCAAAGAAAGAAGGGTAGGACGTAGGTAGTAGGAACAGAGGGCAAAGAAGAAATAAAGATTGGGAAAACAAGATGGTTCATTAAAAAAGTTTGAGATACTAGAGAGGAATAAAATAATTATAAACAATAATTTTAAAAAAGCTGTTATATATTTGCCTACCTAAGCTGTTATATATTTGCCTACCTAAGCTGTTATATATTTGCTTACCTAAGGTCAAGCTCTTGAAAGCCAATAACATAAACATCAGGTGGAGTTTGGTCAACTGCTAACCACGCTCTTAAACTACCATTTCCTGGAATATATTTTTGAGTAATAATATTTCTGGAATATATTCTTAAACTACAATTGCCTGGACTATAGTTTTGAATAATAATATTTTCTGGAATATATTCTTAAACTACCATTTCCTGGACAATGACAATGATGAAAATAAATCTATTATCTTTATTTCGCAAAATAAACCTGGACTTTGGCCGTTAACGTTCCAGGTGCCTATGAAGAAGGAGAAGTTCTGAAGGTCCGTGAACTGATCCTCCTTCGTGGACATCTGGTAGTTAGCCACGCTCTCCCTGTCCCTCCCCACTATGGGAGCAGCTAGTCCTGTTGCTATCTCCATCCTTGGTATTGAGTCCTCAAGCTGATTAGTAGTTGGGATTATAGAGTTGGAACCTAGACAATATATGTAATATTAACAATAATTAAAGGGATTGTAAGCGTGTAAGCGTAATTTTACTCCGTGCAAAGATGGCAAGGCCGCTTCGCAACAGTACCCTTAAAAGATTTGTCGGAAAAAGTATGAATTAGATATCAATATTTATAATTTTAAAAACTGATCATTTTTACTGCGCAGTTTAAATCTGTTGCAGGGTTGGCTCTGTGCCCAATAATATACCAAATTTTTAAAATATGCATGGCTTCTTCTTGTGTTAAAAAAAATACCTTCAACAGCTTTATAAATGAACGACTAAACATGTGCGCGAAGCACCAAAAAATGTCTGTTCTTTTAGTGTCTTTTCACTGCGCATATAAAGTCCCCTATTACAGTCAACAGCTGTTTTTTGTAATTTATTCACTAGTCATATTTGTCCACTAAGCAGTAAATAGTCCCCTTAATCGTAGGTCTGCATGCAGTCCTAAGTAGTAAGCAGAATTCATTCACTAGTTATATTTGTCCACTAAGCAGTAAATAGTCCCCTTAATCGTAGGTCTGCATGCAGTCCTAAGTAGTAAGCAGGATTAATTCACTAGTTATATTTGTCCACTAAGCAGTAAATAGTCCCCTTAATCGTAGGTCTGCATGCAGTCCAAAGTAGTAAGCAGAATTCATTCACTAGTTATATTTGTCCACTAAGTAGTAAATAGACAATGTGTACTATAGTATCAACAATGTGTACTATAGTATCAACAATGTGTACTATAGTATCAACAATGTGTACTATAGTATCAACAATGTGTACTTCTAATTGTACTTAATGAAAGAAGTTCAATGCAAGTAAAACAAAGGTAGTAAATTGACTAGGCACAGTTATAATGTGCGAGGGAACCATTTAAATAAATAGTTATCACTGATTTAACAAATATAAAACAGATTCCAAAGGTTTGTCAATATTTCTGTTTGTCTTCTGTATCGTGACTATCTTTTAAACTGAGATCAGTTGTACTGTACAGTGTACATAGTATATACAATACGCGTACTGTATGTTTTCTACCTGGCGCATCTAGAGTATATACAGAGTTACCCACAAAGGATGAGACTGTAAAGACAACCTGAAACTCTCACAATATGACGATTAAAATGTAAAACTAAGTCTTCTGTCTTGAATTTATTCTTCTAATGGCTTTAATAATGATTTGGCAACAAAAAAATCTAGTTTATAGTTGCAGTGAATCAAGAAAACAGTGATAACTTGGTACAGTCGTCTCTGAAATCTCATCCTTTGCGCAGGATCCATGCAAATTGATGGAGTTGCATTATTCCACTCAGATCGTAAGTAATTCAATTAAATTAATAACTAATTAATAGATCGATTAGATCGAAGTTAAATTAGTAGCGATCAAAATCGAATTCAATTCGATATCAGCCTATACCCAGGGTATACTTGTTGAGAAAAATCCGTATAATCCGTACATAAAAATCCTTCCATTTAAAAAAAAAATCCGTACAGTACATTTCAGAAAAAAACGTACAATACGTACAAAAACAAAAAAGTTTTTAGAAAAAAACATCCAAAATGAATATAAAACATAAAGCTAAAAAATTTCTCATTTCTACCAACCAACTGAAATGATAAATATGTTATGTAATGAGTAATAATAAATGTTGTCTATTTGTGCATAATTTTGCATATTTTTCTCTTTTGCGTTGGAAACCTGTATTTTTCAAAAATTTATTTAAACAAATTTAAACTACACCATATATATATGTATTTATATTTTTGTGTGTGAATAAATCTTTTTAATAATAATATTATCATTCATCTTTCTTTGCTCGTATGTGAGCAAAGGCTGACCTTACATTGCTTTACAATTTATCTGAAACAAAAATGACTGCACTGTGCAGGGTACAGATGAAAAAGAGGATAAAGCCGGATAAAAAAAATCGCGATAAAATTAAAATAAATAAAATTTAAAAATCTGCTTCCTTTATATGTTTTTACTATTATGTAAGCTTTTCTTTTTATTTTCTGAATTGGGATGGGATCATGGGTTTCCTTATTTGTCTAAGCTTAAAACTCATTATTTAGCAATAATGAATAGCCCTATGCATTAATTAAGTAATCTTTAACCTTAAAACTTTAAAGAATGATTTTTGTAAAATCTTTAGCGCTTAACCAACAATCAACAGTCTGAGTGTTTACAATAAACATGATTTGATTTTCAATTGTGAAGATGCAACAAAGGTAGACCACATTTCTGAATGCTTAAAACATAAATAATGACGACTTCTTAATTCCCGTGATTATTAGGACATGTGTATTGTATAACATGAAAAAAACCAGATTTGGTTGGTTTTTAACTTTTTCAAGCCCGACTCTTTGTACTTTTTCGGGTTATTAACCATTATCAGATATATCTGAATTTTAAATTAAAAAAATCATACTTAGGAAGTAACTGCATTATAAAAAAGGAAGAACATTTTAAAATAAGGGAATCCCTAATCCCATTCCGTTCATCATGGACCATGATTCTTTAGTTTGACTATGCGCTCATCTTTTATGTTACTTCTTGGAGTATAAGAGATTGCCCGGCGAATTAAAATTTTTAATTTTCAATAGTTCTTAAATTATGAAAAATCGACAGATTTTCTTGAATTAAAAAAAAGTAAACTGATAATCTGAGGTTTCTTTTTAAGCAAAATTTTTGGATAATCGATAATTATTTTTTGAGCTAAAGCAATCAAAAATAAAATTGGCATTTTTAAAAATAAGTAAAGAAAGCTATGGTATGCGAACTTTGTTCAGTCGAAAAAATTAGCTTTTTTTATCAATCGGAACATTCGACAGCTCACGTTTTCAACAAAAATATTTGATCTAAATCTGGTAAAAAAAAAATAATCAATATATTTTGGCAGCCCTTTATACACCCTTTCATTTTTCGCGAACACTCCCTGTAATGTTGTTTTTCCCCAGGATTCTTTGTTTTGATCTCCTGCAGTACAGTAAACATATTTGACGTAGTCAAAATATATTTCTCGTCCACACTCCACAGTGTAGAATTGGATTAGATTTATTTCAGAGAATGTAAGAGATATTAATCAAGAAATAACCAAGAACGTATGCCTAAGAAAGGGGTGGCTGTGCCCGGGGACAAATTTATGTACCTTTTTAAGGGCAATAACTTTCATTATTATACCCCCGTAAAATCAGGCCCATATTTGAAAGGTGGGACAAATGGGTAAATAGAGAGGCAAACCCTTCGTGCACAGTTAAAAAAAACTCTTATTTCATTTTAAATTTAAATTTTACAGTGAGGGAGGGAGTGGCACCCCCCCCCCCCCTAGTTACGGCCCTGCCTACAATAATGTTTTATATTTTTGTTTCATCTTTTTCACAAGAAAAGATTAATCTATTCAAATTTATTTTGAGAATTGAAAAATGTTTAAGATAAACATAATTGTAAACCTTCTTCATTTCCTTCACTATCCGTCTCCATTTCATTCTCCGGAGCCTGCATTTTATACTGGAGGAGAATATAGGAGGAGACAAAATTAGAGGTTTTAGGAGACATAATTAGGGTTACTATGAGATATAATTAGGGGTTTTTAGGAGACATAATTAGGGGTTTTTAGGAGACATAATTAGGGTTATTATGAGACATGGTTATGAGTTTTCATGAGACATAATTAGGTGTTTTCAGTATACATAATTAGAGTATTAGAGTTATTATGAGACACAACTAGGTGGTTTCAGGAGACATAATTAGAATTTTAGGAGACATAAGTAGGATTTTAGGAGACATAATTAGAGGTTTTCAGGAGACATACTGAGTGTTTTAAGAGACATACCTAGAGATTTTAAGGAGAGATAATCAGGGTTTTATGAGACATAATTAGTGTTTTATGAGAAATACCTAGAGATTTAAAGGAGAGATAATCAGGGTTTTAGGAGACATAATTAGAGTTTTAGGAGACATAATTAGTGTTTTAAGAGACATAATTAGGGGGCTAGGAAACATAATTAGGTTTTTTCAAAAGACAGAAACTAGAGGGTATCACGAGAAAAACACTAGGAATTTTGAAGACATTTTACGAAACTTTTCAGGATTGTACTATTTTAATAGGTTGCTTAGATTGTATAAGAAATTATATATAAAAACCACAGTATCAGTATTTGTAGATACCGTACTAAACAAACTAGATCTAGTACTAGTGTAGATACCGTACTAAACAAACTAGATCTAGTACTAGTGTAGATACCGTACTAAACAAACTAGATCTAGTACTAGTGTAGATACCGTACTAAAAAAACTAGATCTAGTACTAGTGTAGATACCGTACTAAACAAACTAGATCTAGTACTAGTGTAGATACCGTACTAAACAAACTAGATCTAGTACTAGTGCGAGGGAATGAGAAGCCATACTTTTTAAAATATCCAAGTCCTAGGAATAGTTATTAGTCAGAAAGAATTAAGTTTTAAAAGAGATCACGGATTAAGAAGATAATAGGACATGAGAAGGACACGATGTCTAATGCAAACCGGAGAAAGAGAGACTTGAAAACAAAAAAAAGAGTACGCCCTCATTTTGTCCTTCCTGGAGTAAACCCCTGATATTATCCTACCTGGAGTAAACCCCTGATATTCTCCTACATAGAGTAAGCCCATAATATTGTCCTACCTGAAGTATACCCTGATATCTCCTACCTGGAGTATACCCTCATATCTCCTACCTGGAGTACACACCTTATATTATCCTGCCTGGAGTAAACCCCTGATGTTATCCTAGCTGAAGTAAACCCCTGATGTTATCCTACCTGGAGTAAACCCATGATATTATCCTACCTGGAGTAAACCCCTGATATTCCCCCCTACCTGGAGTAAACCCTTGATATCTCCTACCTGGAGTAAACCCTTGATATCTCCTAACTGGAGTAAACCCTTGATATCTCCTACCTGGAGTAAACCCCTGCTATTCTCCTAGTAGGAGTAAACCACTGATATTCCCCTACCTGGAGTAAACCACTGATATTCTCCTACCGGAGTAAACCCCTGATATCCCCTACCTGGAGTAAACCCATGACATTATCCTACCTGGAGTAAACCCATGATATTCCCCCCTACCTGGAGTAAACCACTGATATTCTCCTACCTGGAGGATTCACCGACAAAGGGCCAAACGACCCATGTCGTTTGACCCTTTGTCGTTTGACCCTGGGTCGTTTGACCCTTTGTCGGTGAATCCTCCTAGTAGGAGTAAACCACTGATATTCCCCTACCTGGAGTAAAAGCCTGATATTTTTCCAACCAGGAGAAGGTTTGAATATCTGTTCCTTTCTTGGATACGTTATCTGTCAGTCTAAACACTTCACTAACGAAGTTTTGTGTATGATAACCTGTAAAATATAATCATCAATTATCAAATTAAACCTTTGTCTTTTCATCATAGTGCGAAATGGTTCAAAATTGCGTTAGTCTTAAAATTTTTTTTGAAAAATCTATCGAGATTCGAACAGAAATCAAATCACGAAATTATTTACTCTTGGTTTTCCACCCTGATCTGATATTTTGTTTTACTAAGAACGAATTGATTCTGTCAAAAACTTCGATTTTCCAATTTATACATTTGGGTAACCCAATAATGTAGACCTTAAATATTTCAAACTATGAATTATGTTATATCAAAGTTTAAAATGTCAAAGGTTTACACCATCAGGTTGCAAAGATATAGGCACTAGAATATTTGATTTTGCGGAATTTTTGCTTAATGAACAACTATCTTTGTCTTACCCGGGAGCATTTCAAACAGTAACTTTTGTCTACTTGAAGATATTGTTATGTATAATGCATCTGGTCTACTCTTGGCACCAGAATCAATCTCAAACCTAAACCATAATCTGGTATAATAAACCATCTAAACTTACATAGAATCAATCTTAGACCAGAATCTGATATTCCTGTTTAACAAGGGAATTTTTAAAATTCACAAAGAACATTTTTTGGATAATTTTTTCTAAATTCAGCCATATGAGTTCTGAAGATAGAACTGACATGAGGATCCCCTGAACCTGGTTTACCTGAAATTAGGATTGATATTTGGATCCCCTGAATCTGATTTACCTGAAACTAGGATTGATATGAGGATCTCCTGAACCTGGTTTACCTGAAGCTATGATTGATATGTGGAACTCCTGAACCTGGTTTACCTGAAGCTAGGAATTGATATATGGAACTTTTGAACCTGGTTTACCTGAAGGTAGGATTTATATGTGGATCTCCTGAACCTGGTTTACCTGAAGTTAGGATTGATATAAGGATCTCCTGAACCTGGTTTACCTGAAGCTAGGATTGATATGAGGATATCCTGAACCTGGTTTACCTGAAGCTAGGATTGATATGAGGATCTCCTGAACCTGGTTTACCTGAAGCTAGGATTGATATGTGGATCTTCTGAACCTGGTTTACCTGAACCTGGTTTACCTGAAGCTAGGATTGATATGAGGATCTCCTGAACCTGGTTTACCTGAAACTAGGATTTATTGGAAGAACGGATTCTATTTTGAGATCTGCTTGGTTTAAGACAGGGAAGGTTTGTGAAATGAAGACGAAGAGAGCTTCTGTTGACGAGCATCTAAATAATTTCCATCAAATTTTGTTACAATACTAGCAAAGGTCTATTAGCTACCCCCTCCCCTCACCACGGTTAAGTCCTGTTCATTTCGACATCTAAGGAACATAAGGAAATGGAATCTGTTAGAGATCCCTAAGATAGATAGATAAAACCTCATATGACGTTAATCTCTCCTCTATAATATGTGACGTCAATTAGGTTTTTATCTATCTTAGGAGACGACATTTTCCGTACATTGGAGCGCATCCAGAGTTACCAACCTTAATATACAACCTAGCAAGAGACCCATTCCATCAGATAGATCGCATTAATAACGTGTGCAATGCTTTTTAGTGATTCGGTCGGAAAAGAACTAAGTCCTTAAAAGTGAATTCCAGTAAACAATAGAAATTTTTCATATTTTCAGAAAAATTAAAATCAATATTTATTTTATGCAATTTACAGTTTCTCTAAGCAACGATTCAAGTTTTCAATCTTAAAATTGACGCTTTTCAATTGTGGTACTCTGGAATAATGTCTTATGGATTTGAGCAGCAGAGACGTTTTACAAAACTAAAATGTAATATTTAAACAAAATGAAGAAACAGTTATCTTTCTGATGGTTTAATTAAGTAATGTTAATTGTTATTAAATTAAAGGGACTGTTATAGTTTTTTTAAGTGAACCCTCATATAAAGAGGTGCATGCCCGATTCACAACAGTCCCCTTTAATCTGATCAACAATTTGTAAGAAATCATCGTTTTTTCAAGCTTGAAAAGTATTTAATCCTGACAATTTCCCCATCTTATGAAAATGATCAATTATCAAAGTTTAAAATATGGTTATTTTTGATACAAAGCTTTAAAGGATACCGTTAAGAACAATAACATGCCACATTTGATATTGACGTGTACAGGCCCTTTAACCTGTGCTAGGATATATGCTTCTGCTGGTGCCTGGAGGATTCTATTAACTATAGCCAGCTGATCAGCTGTCGTCATCCTTCCTTTATTAAAGGGTTTGTTACCACATTTTGAGGTAGGTCTACAACTTAAATATTTACATTTCTCCCCTTCCCCCTCTTTTTACTTTCATAATTCCTTCTTTCTTTCTTACTTATCTACGCTTCCGCAGGTTCCCTTTCCCTTCTTTTTCCCCTTTCTTTAATTTCTTACTTATCTTTGCTTCCGCAGGTTCCTTTTTCCCTTCTTTTTCCCCTTTCTTTCATTTCTTACTTATCTACGCTTCCCTTTTTCTCTTTTCGATTTCCCCTTTTTCTTTTCTCTTTTCCCATTAACTCTCCGATTTCTTACTTATCCTCGCTTACCCTTCCCCCATCCACCTTTTCCCTTTTTTACCCCGCTCTATTCATGTCTCTCAAATCTTACTTATCTTCACTTCCCCTTTCCCTTTCAACTTCTCTCTTTTCCATTTTCTCTCATTTATTACTTATCTTCGCTTCCCCTTCCCCATTTTCCCTTTTCCTTCCCGCTTTCTTTCCTGTCTCTTAATTCTTACTTATCTTTGCTTCCCCTTCCCCCCATTTCCCTTTTCTCCTTTCCCTTTTCCCTTTTCTATTCCTTTCCTGCTTCCTTTTTTCTTCCTAAACTTCTTTAAAGTCAGGGCATTATCCTCCCAGCTAAGAACAATCTTAAAAACCTGATATCGTGGAAACTGTTACATCTTTTATCTGAAAATATTGAACATAAAACAGGCGTTGACTTATTTAGGGAGTAGAACAGAAATGCATAGATTAATAAGTGTGCCTGTGTGTGCACAGATCTTTAAACTTTTTGGAACATTACTCTCCAGAGTATACTGGAGAACAGGAGATATGACGAAAAGAAGAGAAGATAAAAGGAATTGTAGGAAGGAAAGTAGAAATTCAAACATAAAGGATAGAGGGGAGAAACAAGATGCGTTGAGAGAAAGTAAAAAAAAGATCAAATCCATTCAAATGATTTAATTAAAACATCTGAATGTAACTGAAACACATAAAAATCCTCGAAATACGTGAATACCGTGAAACATACATTTGATGTAAAATATCTATGGTGGCAGCAAAGTCAGACTAAACTCCTCCTCCCTGCCCCCATATCATATACTATTAACACTGTTAACAGCTGCATGGAGTAACCCAATCAATATAGACAGAGTAAATATTAACCCGGATATCCGGATATCCGAGACATACAAAATATCAGAATTATGACTAAAGTTTCTTTTCACTTATTAAAATAATTTTTCTTATTTGTTGAGAGGTTCAGGACTCAGGTGTAATTAAAAATCTCCCGAGGATGAATTATATTCCGTACATATTTTTCTATGTAGAGAGGGAGAGATAAGGTTTTACTCCGAGATTAGGTGACAATGGTGATTAAGGTTTTACTCCGGGATTGGTTGAGAAGGTTGATCAAGATTCAGATTTAGCCGCTGATTCTGAGTTAACACTTGTTCCAATATGGTTGGTTCCAAGTCCAAACAGATGTCCAAGATACTAAAATAAAAACCATTATTAAAATCCTTCTAGATAACTATATAAAAAGGGAATGTTTACAAAAATGGTCGCAACCTATACCTTTGAATCATCCAGTTCATCTTCAAAGTATATTTCCTGCATCTTGAAGAAAGCGCGTCCAGTGAGAAGAGAATCTGAACCTGCCTGATGCTGGGGACCTATCCTCTCAACCTGAACATGACTAGGTTAAAGAGAATCTGAACCTGCCTGATGCTGGGGACCTATCCTCTCAACCTGAACATGACTAAGTATATAGCTGGGGACCTATCCTCTCAACCTGTACATGACTAGTCTATAGCTGGGGACCTATCCTCTCAACCTGAACATGACTAGTCTATAGCTGAGGACCTATCCTCTCAGCCTGAACATCACTAGGTTAAAAGATATACCCTCTAAGCAAAGATGGCAATGTCCAATTCACACAGGAACCCTTGATGTCTTTAACTAATCAATAATTTCTTAGAAAATATCGTTTTTCTAGGTTTACAAGTGTTTAATTTTAATAATTCCGATATGTTTTCCTGTGGTAGAAATGCGCAAGTCACTATTGTGGAGAGGCCACAATTGAAAATAAATAGTTTTCAACATTATAAACACTGATATATAGTTAAACTTGATCAAAAAAAGCTTTTGAGGGTACCGTTGTAAATCAAACATTGCCATCTTTGCATGGAGGTTCAATTAAAGTCACGCTTACAGTCCCTTTAAAATTAAAAATTGCGTGGTTGATATTAAAGCCCAGTGAGATAAAACCTAACCTACTGTTGAAAATAATTATCAAAAAATTGATAAAATTAACAAAAAGATGATTTAAGCGAGATAAGATTAAAGTTCACAAATCTGATATAAAATCATTTAAATTTTTTTACATGGAATCTTTAGTTATATTTTGTTCCTTTTTTGATTGAAAAGTTAATATTTTTTATACTTTAACAGATGATAAGGAACACACGAGACGGGGGTCGAATATTTTTTTTTTTTGGGGGAGGGGGATGTCTATGATTAAAAGGGTATTTTTAAAAATTACCCCCCCCCCTCTCCCTACGTCGGGGTGCAGGGAATAATATTAACAATTGACACAACTAGCAATTAACTGTCTTTTTGATATACTGCAAAAAAATCAAAATTATTTTCCCTAATTTTACGAAGAAAAAACCTAAAATAATGTAAATAATAATGTAAGTTTACTACCTCCAACATATCGGCGACCTCCTGGAGCCCTCCCTTCAGGTTCTTGCAGGACTTCATCAAGTACTTCACGTCGTATATGTTGGGGAAGTAAATCTTCAAGATCTCGAAGAACTCTGTCTCCCCGTCGGGCAGGTTGTTGTTGGTGAGGATGCTCAGCAAGTATCCGAAGTCGTATCCACTGTGGAAGGACAACCACTTTACGTTGTCCAGGAGAACAATTCCTGAATTCAAAAATTGATTTTCTTTGTGAGGGTTTAATTTTTATCAGAATAATATTCTTTCTTTCATTTCAATCTTCATTTTGATATTTGCATGAACAATCTTTCAATATTTTGATATTTGCATGAACAATCTTTCAATATTTTGATATTTGCATGAACAGTCTTTCAATATTTTGATATTTGCATGAACAATCTTTCGATATTTTGATAATGCTAAAGTTTTTGGCGTAATATAGAGAAGCAAACTCTAGTGAGAGAGAGAGTAGGGTTGGGATTTGTTAAAAACGATCTAAAGATATATTAACAAAAAAATTGTCTTTAGGTAAGATGAAATAAATTTTGTTTAACAAAGAATAAATAAATATAGATTAAAAAGAGTTTTATTATTTATCAACATTTTATGTCAAATGATAAAAAACAAAATTTGATTATCAAAATATGTATCTCCATTCTCAAGATACAGGTAAGGTTAAAAGGGTGAAAAACACTTATTAACATTTTTTTCCTGGGCTATGAAAAAAAACGAAGTTATAATAAAAAATAATAAATCTTGGAACAGGATCCCCAACCCCAGTGTTTAAATATATTACCGGATACTATTAACATCTCTGCAAAATGAACAGTCTCTATTCCCTCCCGTTCATGTCTCTCGAACTGTATTCCTGAATTCTGAAGCAGGTCAACACTCTCCTCCGCATACATATCCTCACTTAGGTTAAACTTGAAGTTAAACTGCCAGGTACACGTTCCCTTTACAACAATTTGGTTAAACGTTCCCTTTACAACAATTTGGTTAAACGTTCCCTTTACAACAATTTGGATTACAAACCTGGGGCATCTCCCCATCCTTGTTGAAGAATGTGAGACCAAGTTGAATAATTTTAAGAAGATCTACATTACATCTCAGCAGTTGATATTGATAATCAGAAGAGGATTTAAAATCTCCGATGGGACGTGCTACCACACCCGGGAACTCTGTGTCCATCGCTACATATGGATATTCATTTACAATATGACAGATTTGTTTAAACTCTTCTTCAAGATTATGATTCCACACCTCACGAATCCTAGAATAATAAAAAACAATAATTTGATTGATAAAATTTAAAATGGTATCAAAAATCAAGAAAAAAAATCAATTTTTTAAATAATGTTAACTCTTCCCCCCCCCCCCTCCACCTCAAAGAAAGCCAGTGGGGGTAGGTATAAACTTATTGAACCCTTGAAAATAAAAATAAATGAAAATTTAACCCATAGTTCTTTAACCTATAAAAAGGATATTTCAGACGACTCATTAGAAACCTTGAAAAATCTGATAATCAAATTGAAAAGTATGTGAGACTAACCTCGAGTTCTGATCTAGTGAAGGGTCTTGTCCCCGATCCATATCCTCTGCGTCACCAGGTTGGGACATATGAACCATTTTCTACTCCTGAAATATCATATTGAAGCAGGGGTGTATATTTTCTTGAAAATTCAACCCCCCCCCAAAAAAAAAAGGTTAGGAGTGAATGGGAGAAAATAAATGAATTAAGAATTTTATTGGGAAAAGAATCGAAAAAGATTATTAAACTTGCTGTTTCATGTCAAATTTTTCGATTTTAAATTTTTCTTTTTTCCCAAATCAATAACTCTTTGGTTTCTGTACTTCAGGGTTTGTGAAGATTTCTGGACTAATCTTATAGAAAATTACAAATAAAAATGTTAAGTTCCTAGTGTACACTTTGTGGACATGTACATTGTACAAGATTGATAGGGGAGGGGATGCCAAATAGCGTTCTCTAGGACAGACCTTAGCGTTCTATGGTGACCCTTAGAAAAAATTTTCAAAAAGTAATTTGAGATCTTATTGCACAAAAATTATATCAGGGGGGGGGGGGCGAAAGCGTTTTCTAGGATAGATACTAAAATTTCGGGTGGGGTCCGTACGATTTTTGGACCCACCGCCCCTCCTATTAATCTTGTACATCACCACTTTTTCAACAATTTTCAATTAAATTAGTATTTATTTTGATTTTTGGGTTAGGTTAGAACACTTTCTGAGCCGAGCGCTGCGAATAGGACAGGCCAGGGGGCCGAGCGCTGCGGATAGGACAGGCCAGGGGCCGAGTGGCGCGGCTAGGGGCAGGGCGCTACGGCCACATGGTCAATTATAGCCATGTCTTACATTTAAGATCTATGTACAAAATTGATAGGAGGGGGGAGGGGGCGGGGGAGGTCCAAAAATCGTTCTCTAGGAAATTACCAAAAATTCAAATGAAACTACAGAGCGTCCCATATCATATTAGATTATCACCAATCTTTAACACCAAAATAAACCCTTAATACTCGAAAAACTTATCATTTTCCGCAAGAAAATTCTTATGTAAGCCTTATATTATTTTTCAAAATGATTCATTCTAATTAAATTTTCTAATTAGTCCCGAAAATCGTAATTTAGACCCGTTCTCGGTCTAATATGATATGGGACACCCTGTATGTTATCAACAAATATAACATTTATCCTTTGTATTTTTAGCCAAAGCCTTAAATTCCTTCATAACTAGGACATAAAAGTACTTGAATCAGAAGAAAAACAATGAATATCTATCTTTCAGATAAATTAAAAACTAGAAATAGAGAAAAATAAAGATAAAATAAAAAAGTGCAAACTGTGATGTTTAGAGAGACTGTAGAGACTAGAGAGACTAGAGAGAGAGAGAACGTAAGACAGGAAAATAAAAACCAGTTTAGTCTAGATTTACCTGCTTTCTTCTGTACACTTTTGTTTTTATCATTTACAGACAATTTATTGTTTATTTTTTTTACTTGATGACATGGCAACGAATAGTCAGTGAACAGACTTTTAAATTTACTTAAGTCATAAAAATCGGCGATCAATTTTCGAAAAGCTATTCCTACCCTTAATCGCAACTCCTTTTTTGTTTTCTCTATTTAAAGTCCTGGTTAAATGCAATAGTCTCCAATACTCCTATCGTAAGTATAACGCAATTTATAAGGCACTGCAATTGCATGCACTGATGGTTCCTAGAAAAATAGAATAATTGTCTAATTTATCGTTACCGATTACATAGCGGTTTAACATTAAAATGGATTTTAATCAAGCTTTAGCATTTTCTGCAAATAATGTCTATAGCCTTATTAAATTTTTTAAAATGATTCATTCTTCTTAAATTTTTGATTTGTCCCCCAAATCGTAATTTAGACCCATTGACGTGGTCTAATTTGATATGTATTTTATGTACGCAAATTTTTTATTCGCCCGAGGCTTGATCTTGATCTTTCATATGACTGCAGTTGTGTCAAATCGATGTTCGATATCCCGCATGGAAATCGTACATTGAAGGGATAACTGAAATATAGAGATAAGAGATTGTTCATTGATCCGCAAATCAAAAGTGCTCGAAGAGGATATCAAGATCCAGCCATCGGGATCATGAGTATCTAACACTTAAGTTCCCAGCTCTGCACAATTAATCAAAACCTCTAATTTTAGTTTTGCACAATCCAATGATGTTGAATATCGTCTTAGGTGGCAAATCCGGGAACTTTTTTAGATATTTTAATGACTCTAATTCACTAAAGCTGGGGAAGGGATTTAAAGTTTTTAAAGCGTCCAAGTTTTGTACGTTAAAAAGAATTTATATGAGGACTAATACTAGAGTTTGAATCTCTAGAAGCTTTTAAACGTAAAAAAATTAATCTTTAATAATTAACCTTTCAAGTGACTCTCAAATTTTTAAGAGGGGTATATGCGAGTCACAACGGTACCCTTGAAACCTTAACCTGATAAATAATTTCTATTTATTCCTCCAGTGTTTCTGAAGCAAGAAATATGCAAGTCACTGTTGTAGAGAAACCGCAAATGTAAAAAAATTCAGTTTTCAAAAATAAAAACTTAGATATCTAATTCATACTTGACGAGACAAAGATTTTTACGGTACTGCTGTGAATCGACATGTCACTATCAATGGTCACTTGAAATTACTATTGCAGAACCTTAAAGACTAATATGAAGCATATCTCTAATATAAACTAATGTAGAATCTATTAAAAGAATAATATGACGGATTTCAGCTGAGTCAGCTTATCTGAGCTAATAAAAAAGAATCTATATTAAGAGTTATATGAAGGATGTAAAAGAATATAAAGAGGAGTATGTCTACTCTATGATTAAGACTAAAAATATAACCAAATCTAGAGAAAAAATTGAAAAGAATCTTTATTAAGAATAATATGAAGGTAACCTATTGAACATATAGTCAGTAAATAATAAAAGAATAGAAAGAAATATTATTCATTAAAAAAATGAAGTTATAAATATTTATTATGTCCTTTGAATAATATTTAATGAAAAATTATCTTCTTTAGATTTTTATTTTATATATTATTAATTATCTTTAGCTCTTTGGAAAGATTAGGATGCAGAGAAAATAATTCAATATTACAAAAGTTGATCCAGTCCAAATCCTTCAAGATAATTAAATTCTAAATAGAATCATTGATTTAAGAAGAAAAATGGCGGATTAAAAGTCTACTATGTTAAATCTTCTCAGGAGGCTTATTTGCTTTCCTTTTAAATTAACAGGTATATTCTTCCAAAGCAATGATGCAAGGGAATTGTTTAACCATGGGTGTATACAAGGGGGGAAGGGGGGATCAATGATTGTTTCTAAACACTAATGTTCAGAACTATAGAAATGATATAATGCGTCTGCTCATCTTTCAAAATGAAAAAGAAATACACTCTAAATTAGTATTAATAAGATCTAAGACATTATAAAGAAAATGGATTTATTTTTATAGTATAAAGAAATCGGTCAATATCTATAGGATAATATTCTTTCAAGTGTCTTTTCAAATTTCTTTGTAAAACGTCCAAGTACTTAATTAACTATGATTAAAACCCTGTTCATGGAATTGGATCTTATTATTTTATAAATTCATTATAATTTGGCATTTTGTAAGAAAAACCTTCTTCTAACCTAAATCAATAATCATCATATTTAATCCTTTTAACATTTTAGTTTTAGTTTTAAAGTCTAGATAGAATTAAAAGGGAATAAAATCTAGATGCATAACACTTTAAAAAATTGAAAGATGAATAAAAAAGTACTGTAATTATTCCATTTCTTTGAATCTTATATCCCCCCCCCCAAAAAAAAAAATCTGAATTTTAGTTGAACTGGAAAAAATCGAGCATATCATAAAAAACACTGCAACTTATTACTCAGAATGAATATCTCAAGGGGGTTTGCCCATAATTGCGCATGCAAGTGCGCAAAAAAATTTCGACCCCCCCCCCTATAAACTGAACAAAAAGCAGAAAATTCCTATTTTTTATTTGTTACTCCAGATATCCCACTTTCTGTCTGTAAACTCTAGTTCTCCTACTTTCTATCTGCAAAATCTAGTTCTCTCCTACTTTCTGTCTTTAAACTCTAGTTCTCCTACTTTCTATCTGTTAACACCAGTTCTCCCACTTTCTATTTATTAACGCCAGTTTTCTTACTTTCTATCTGTAAACTCCAGTTCTTTCTTCTACTTTCTATCTGTAAACTCCAGTTCTCCCACTTTCTGTCTGTAAGCTTTAGCTTTCCTACTTTCTATCTGTAAACTCCAGTACTTTCACTTTCTATTTGTAAACTCCAGTTCTCCTTCTTGCTATCTGTAAACTCCAGTTCTCCTACTTTCTATCTGTAAGCTCCAGTTCTCCTACTTTCTATATGTAAACGCCAGTTCTCCTACTTTCTATCTGTAATCTCCAGTTCTCCCACTTTCTATCTGTAAACTCCAGTTTTTCTTCTCTCTATCTGAAAACTTTAGTTCTCAGCTTTCTATCTGTAAACTCCAGTTCTCCTACTTTCTATCTGTAAGCTCCAGTTCTCCTACTTTCTATCTGTAAACTCCATTTCTCCTACTCTCTATCTGTAAACTCCAGATCTCCTACTTTTAATTTGTAAACTCCAGATCTCCCAATTTCTATCTGTATACTCCAGATCTCCCGCTTTTTGTCTGCAAACTCTAGTTCTACTACTTTCTATCTGTAAAATCTAGTTGTCTCCCACATTCAAGCTGTAAACTATGTATAGTTTTCCAACTTTCTATCTGTAAACTCCAGATCCCCTACTTTCTATCTGTAAGCTCCAGTTCTCCTACTTTCTATCTGTAAACTCCAGTTCTCCTACTTTCTATCTGTAAACTCCAGTTCTCCTACTTTCTATCTGTAAACTCCAGTTCTCCTACTTTCTATCTGTAAACTCAGTTCTTCTATTTACTATCTGTAAACTTTAGTTCTCCTACTTTCTATCTGTAAACTCCAGTTCTCCTACTTTCT